GGTCACTGCACCCAGGCAGGAGCCGTTCAGCAGGCCCCGTCCTTGGACCTTGTACAGGCCGACGGACTCGACCTCGAACCGACACACCGGAGCTCGACCTGGCCGACACGTACGGGTCCCACGTCTGGCTCAGGAACGCTGCCAGGAACTCGTCCTCTCGAGCGGCGCACCGCTTCCTCTGCCTTCGTGGCCTCCACCCTCGAGCTCTTTTTCGCACGTTTCTCGGTACGGCTCGGCACCGCTGGCAATCCTCGATTCAGCCAGCAACTTCCCAGGCACCTGGATCCTCGGCCACCCTGGACCTCGCCCGGCTCTGTGGTCCTCCATGCACACCCCCGCGTCTCGCCCGGCAGAACGTCTCGCCCGTCCCTTGCCGATGTGCGACACTCTGGTGGCACCGGCGCTTGATGGCATGGGTGCGACTACTGAGCAGTCAACCCGCATCGGAGACGCGATGCTCCATGCGGGGAATGGCCAGCCCGTTCAGCAAAGAGCGTGCGCCGAGACGCCATGCTCGACGCAACCGTGACCATTAGTCAGGCCACGTTCATCGCTGTGTCGAACGGCTGACCGTGGAGACGCCTCGCCGAGATCCGCGATGCCCTCGGCAAGGAAGAGAACAGCAGGCCAGGCCGCGCCCCGAGATGCAGTCAATGGGTGCGACTACTGAGCAGTCAACTCGCATCGGAGACGCGATGCTCCATGCGGGGAATGGCCAGCCCGTCCAGCAAAGAGCGTGCGCCGAGACGCCATGCTCGACGCAACCGTGACCATTAGCCAGGCCACGTTCATCGCTGTGTCGAACGGCTGACCGTGGAGACGCCTCGCCGAGATTTGCGATGCCCTCGGCAAGGAAGAGAACAGCAGGCCAGGCCGCGCCCCGAGATGCAGTACTCGTGCCGGCAATGCCGCCCCAGCTGGTAGTTGGACGACAGTAGCGTGGACAGCCGCGTTCCCTGGCCGGAACCTGGATCGCCTGCGTCCGACACTTCGGCCCGCTGTCTCCCGTCTGCCGCTGCTCCGGCTCGTCCCCAGCCACACAGCCTACTGCCACGTAATGGTCGCACGTGGCCCAATCGTGGCACGCCACCTCTATGGGCCACCACTGGTCATCAGCTGATTGGCGCACAGTTGCCTCGTAATCGCACGTGCCTTCTTCTCTTTTTCATTCCTTGTTGTCGCCTTCGTGCCACCTGCCCTCCGCTCGTCTTCTTCAGTTCTGGTTTGACGTTCCTCGGCGTCTTTAAGTCCTTTTCTTACACCGGCCCATTACATGTATACTGCCTTGCTCAAACTGCGCCAGAATGTCTGGGAACATTCAAGATTATTTTAGGATCAACTGTTAGACTTGAGCGTGCAGACGCAAACAGCAGAATCTGTTCTGGAACACACGTGGTCACCAGCGGTAAAGCTCAAATGCTCAATGTCACATGTATAAGTGCCGACGTGTCGCTGCAGATCAGATTATCAACGCCCGATGTTCTGTTCACTGTTACCATTGCACAATGTGCATCGCTTGCTTGTATTTTAGTACGACTTTCTGTGTCCCGGTTACAAGTTCGGCCAAATAAAGAGTTTCAACTGGGACACGCCAGCTGCTGCCTTGGTCAACGTTTTGACCACTTGACTGCAGGGCAGTCGTTGTCGCCTGTAGCAACTGAAGTGTTGCTGTGCTAAGCGCGTGGATACAGGTCTCGTTCCCAGCGTGGAGAAAGAAAAAAGTTAGGAGGAAGCATTGTGCAATGCGATAGAAAGAAAGAAAAATAGAGGTCGAATACACAAAAATTTTTGCTTGCTCTCAGTTTTTTCATATGGGAAGGTCGTAAATTTTTATGAGTTGCACCATCGTAATATTTCTGTGGACAGATGTGCACAATGATGCTTGTCAGAAATGTGATTTGCAAAGTGACACTTCCATTTCATCTTCCAGGACGGAACAATCCGAACTTGGTGCCCAGAAACCGGTCGACAGTTACACCGGTACGAAGTAAGCATCGAGAAACGAGCGGGAGACACCAAATACAATGTTGAATCTCGGAAACCTGCTGTGAAGCGGTTAGCTCTTCAGCCATCGGGGACAACTATGGCCTGCCTCATTGACGAGTATGTGACGTGTCTGTGTCGTTATTGGCTTCGTGTCAGAGGCTCATATAATAACATGCTGCCGTGATTGTGCAAACCAGTACAGTTAGCAGCAAATGCACAAGGGATTTGAATCAATGTTTATATGAATTTGAGATGGGTGAAGAAACTATACATGTCAGCAAACTTTTTGTGTTTTTAGTTGCCATTTGTATGTTTTCGTCAGCCATGTTCTTTCTTCAAAATATAGTAAGCTTTTGTCAAACATTAGACTTTAACATTTGAGATGTTTTCATTTAGGTGTGGCAGATACATGAGTGCAAGCTGGCAACAATGGAGATCGTAACCAGGAACTTTTACATAAAACTGAAAGCCTTGCCAAGTGCTTGCTGTTCCAGACTCACCCCCTTCCCTTAGTATTTCATTCTCTAAGTCAGTCGATAGATAATATGTGGGGTCTAACGTCCCAAAACCACCATACGATTATGAGAGACGCCGTAGTGAAGGGCCCCAGAAATTTCCACCACCTACGGTTCTTCAACGTGCACCCAAATCTGAGCACAAGGGCTGACAGCATTTTCGCCTCCATCAATAATGCAGCCGCCGCAGCTGGGACTCGATCCCGCGATTTGCGGGGCAGCAGTCGAGTACCTTAGCCACTATACCACTGCGGCGGCCTCTAAGTCAGTCAACTTTCACAAATTTATGTGCACGTGTTATTTCTACAATGGCTTAATTACGGGAGTGCTGAGGTGTTTTTCTTGGTTCCCATGCAAATGTTGTTCACAAGTTGTGCTGTACTGCATTTGGTGCGCAGGCTTGCAGAAGTGCTCCTGCTGAGTTGGCAGGGCCTCGAAGCCGGCTGGAGTCGGCTGCAGCGCCTTGCCGTTCCATGCACCCCCGACGATGTCGCGTTTGACGACGACAGCCAACTTTGGGTGACCCTCACCAGTCCTCCATCGGTGCAGCTTTTTGCACATTCCACCGACCCAAATGTGAGTCTGCAGTTCGAGCCTGACTTTGGCCAGATGAGAAAGTACCGTAGCTTAGTCCAGAGAAGAAACACACATTGTAGCGCCGGAAGGTTTTTGTCTCGCTCAATTCCTTTCATTCACTTCGTTGCTTCTTACATATCGCTCGTCATGCAGGGGCAGTGGCGGCGACTGGAAGTTCCTGCCGAACTCTCGTCTGCAAGCGAGCTTCCATGGGCACCGCTTCTCAAGGACGTCAGCTCGATGCTCTGGCAGATCCTTCAAGGCAAGTGTGCTCCTTTTAATTTTATTCATGTGCTTATCTGCTGCTAAATATGTCCAGCTGACTTTTGGTAGCCAGTGCAGGGATGTTAAAGGGCCCCAAAATCACCCAGGGGTCGAAATGCAGTTGCGATGTTGCAGTTGCACATAACTTTTCGACAAACATGCAGCCGAAAGGATTTTTCAAAAAGATGCCTTAATTGTGGAGCAACATTTTTGATAACTTAAAAGCCGCTCCTGCTCGCTTTGCTCTTTCCTTTGTTACGCTTTGTTCATCAGCTCGTCTCTCCTCGTAGCCGAGTGCTTCTGCTCAGTGTGCAAGGAGAAAGACCAGCAAGCGCACGTAACTGCGAACGGACTAATTAGTTCTTTTTGTGAACGACAGGAGCAGATGACAATGCTGACATCATAGCCAACAATGGGGATTACCGAAAGCCCCGAAAACGACAAAAGACTGTAGCAGAATTCGGATATGAGCTATTTTCAAACCCCATTGTAACAAAGTTGCATTTTACACGAAATTCAGTTTGCTATGTGCGAAAGTTCTTTATAAAAGTATATTCCCAACACCATATTTATAGTAACACTGTTTTTTAATTTCTTTGTTATATTCAGGTTCGTTATATTCAGGTCTGAGTGCATCTAGGTTCGTTATATCGAGTTGGGGCAAATTGAAAGAAGACACATAACACTTTCGGCGCCCATCCTGTTCTTTTATGTTGCAGCGGCAAAAAAAAAAAAAAAGAAGTCTCTTGGTTGACACGATAGAGGTGCTGCTGCTGCAGCTAGGAGAAGAGGCAGAGACAAGCGCATTCAGTTAGCACTGCTTTATATTTTGAGGAAATTTAGGTAGACCTGAGCAACATTATTTTAGAACCGCTTTCCTTTGTTTTCTTGTGATGGTGAAGTTAGGGTTATATTTCAGAAAGTTAATGGACGTACCCCTGCAACAAGGAGGATTGCTTGGAATTCAGGGACCTTATAGGCAAATCAGGAGAGTTAGCAGGCATCTACAGTTTCAAATGGAAAAAAATGGCACAAGTGACCGCTGGCCGGAGCAGCAAGAATGCGACACGCAGCTCTGTTTTTCTCGACAAGGCTGATATCGAGAGTGCCAACTACATTCCATTTACCAAAGCAGGGGTGGCTGGCACAAAGCACTTCTACAGACATCTTTTTCAGACCAATTGCAATAAGGATACAGTTGCTCACAATTACAGCAAAAAAAAAAGTGCATAACTACAATATAGTAAAATTAATTTCTTCTAATCATATCATAATTTATCAGATATACAATTAATATGTGATTCCTTCAGTCCAATTCCCCCAGAGTGTGTGTGAGCCATACATACAGGCTATCATTATCGTCCGCAGATAAGCAATGAACAAGAGTTTCTTTTAAGATATGGGCCCTCAGATGGCCCATATCTGATTTGGCTGATTTCTGTTGGTCCACTGGTCACCCCTGCTTCGGAAAATGGAATGTGCTTGGCAATTAAGGGCGTGCTCATGAACAACAGCGCTGTGTGTCGCAGTTTTGCAGTCTCGGCCACCGGTCTTTTACACTGATTTTTTTCAATCACGGTTGTGGCAGCAAGCAGCCTTGCTTTTGATTGAAGCAGTTGATTCAGCAGCTGAAAATGGTAAGAAGTGAAGCACTGTGCATTGTCAAAAAGATTATTTTATTTATGAAATTCGGCTAACAAAATGTTTGGGCTCGTGCAGGCAAGCCTGTCGTCGCCAACCGAAATAACGGCAGCCTGTCTCAGCTCTACAAGCAGTGGTTTGACAACGAGCACAGTTATCTAGAGAAGAAGCGACGACGCCTGGAGGAGGCCACCGCTGCCAGCGCCCCCAAGCAACTTAAGCAGGAACCCGCGCCACTCAGCTGACCACTCTGTCCAGGAAGGCATTGCTGCAGCGCAGGCACTGTTCGTACGCGTCCTCAAAGCCCTTGCTCCCGTCGTCCTGTCCGAAAGAGTTAGAGTACGATCAGTAAAAAAACAAATCGAAGTCACAGAAGCAATGTAAGAAGTTGAAAGTATGATGGAAGCTCGTTTGGCATAAACGAAACATCTAATAGAAGGGATTAGGGCACAGGCTTACTCACTACAATCTCATCCATAAGTCTTCGTCATTGACAAAGTGCACACAATACTTTACGGATGTGTAGTGGTTACCTCACTTATCTGCCAAAAGACTTCGTGGCAGGTGCGACTGTTTTATGAGATTTGAGTGTAACTGGAAAAATGTGCACTCATATGGCAAAGCACTCGACTAGAAAAATGTCCATGAGAGTGCAAAGCAGAAGAATTATGATACACGCTTTTACCTGGAGTCCTTGTTCATCCAAACCACACCACACACTCGCAACGAAAGTGGGCTTTTAGCTGTGTACGCCAAACGCCTTAGCCTCGTCGTGCTTCACGCATGAAAAGGCGTACAGCTGGACCAAGGTATTAATAGAGAACATGGCTTCGGTAAGAGACCTGAAATGTTGATGCATTTGCATTCTAAAAAATCATTTTGGTTGGTGTCTGTATTCCTTCTTTTGAAAACAATGCAACTGAGCTTGCCGCATTAGTGATCGTCACGTCTCCAAGAGGCAAGTTTAGCCTGTCCATTGTGGCCTTGTCTCGTACGTGACAGTGGCTTGCCATCTATAACTCAAACATCAATGTAACAAACACTGATATAACGAATTATCAAGTAAAGAATAGCTTTGTCATAAGTAGTGTTACAAATATACTTTTAGAGCAAATTTTCTAATATAAAAAAGTATTTTTGTGGAAGTTGTGACGGTTGTAGTGATGTCTGAGTGAACTTAATCTTTTCATGTCCCTACGTCTGCACTGTTCGTAAATAAGTGCGTCAGACTTCACTTCAGCCAACCAGGTCGCATAAGCACTCCGCTCTCACACCTGTGATACATGGGCACCTGAAATGGAGGGAGAGACGAGGTGGCACACGTCTCAACTAATAGTCTCGATTAGAACCTATGAAGAAATGAGCGCTTTGCCCACAGTACTGCGGTGCACTTGCCGTTCACCTGTGAAAGACAATCATAATAGCTGGTATCTGCTCGAACCACTATTAACGTAAAATCGCGAGCAAGTGCCCCTCCCTACGGTGAAGGATCTTTTGACAAGAGTTGGAGGGGGGCCCATGCTCGGTCATAAATCATTCGTTATACGCTCAAGCTTCACTAAAAGAAGTCACACCTGCCACGGAAGTACTTCGTGACATTCGAAAATTCGTTATATATTAATAGCAGTGTATCTATGACAGAGCCATTCCTCATTCACTTTTTTATAACCGATCATTCATTAAGTCAGGCTTCATTATAACAAAAATGCGTCTTACACGTTCATACTATCCAAAATTTCGTACAAGCTACTGTCAACTCTCATTAATTCAAACTCGAAGGAACCTCTGAGTTTCGTTTGAATTATCAGGAAGTTTAAAATATTAGAAGTTCTCAGATATATGACCTTGGGTGAGGTGACATCACACATTATGATTAGGCATTGATTTTATCAGATGTACAAATTTTTTAAGTGATTGTAAAACCTAACTGCACGCAATGAACAGAAAGCAGGGATGCAAGGTCCACAAGTTATCGGCCATTTACTGCTGATCAAACATTCGAAAGAAATCATTAACTGCCACCTGCATCTTTGCTATATGTGCCTTGAGAACAAAGCTCTCTGAACCAGTTGAGAAGCATCACGGTTTACCATGTGTGTGCTCCATTTCAAACATTTGTTTACTGGCAAAGCCTTTTTCCTTGATGGCATGAAGCGTTTACTTTTCATTTTCGAGACTGTCAGGATTATATAAGCACGCAAATTTTCAAATAGTAGTGGGAAACCAGCAGATATTTTCTGGTATGGAACCGGAAAAAGTATGAACTAACCGAATGATGCAGTTTGAGTTAAAAGGCTTTTAAATACATTGAAAGAATAAAGAACCAACCAAAAAATTGATTTTCTTTGATTAACCAAAGGTATGAATTATAGGAGTTTGATTAATCGCGAGTCCACTGTACACTCGAACCTCATTAAAGCGAAAAGTGCATCTTGCACGTACGTTATATTCAAAACTTTGTTATAAAATTACATTTTTAGAACTATATTGCTAGAGTATTCATTTACTTCGTTATAACTGATGTTATATCCAGGTTCATTATGTTGAGGTTTGAGAGTAGTATTGTCAGTTGTTACAATAGAAGTTCTGGGGCACTCGAATATATCATAAATGAGTTCGGCTCTATAGACAGACCTTTACTTAACTGATATGGTTGTAACAACTTCTCAGTTATGATGGAGTAATTAAGAAATTGTGTTGCCATTTTGAACTGCGTTACGAATGTATGTTTATAACAAATTTTCGCAGTTATACGACTTCTTTTATTATAAAGCAATTGAGAAACTTTGTTCCCATTTGAACTGCATTACAAACGTAGTACATATATAACAAATTTTCAGATGTAGGGATGCCATTTTCTTGTCAGATTCAGCTTAATTATGAAGAGTCTTGGCCATACATCACACAAGGCCACAACTTCGGCATTAACTGCGAGTGCACTCACATAGTATGGATCCCGAATGATGGTCTTCCCTTGGGGGTCGTACTTCCCGAAGAGTTCGATTTGAGCCGTACTCTTTTTGGGTGACAGCTCGCGCAGTGTCGAGATATTGTTCCTCGTCCATGCCAAAGATGTACTTGAAGTTGGTGAAGTCTTCGGTTGTCACCTGCATGTGCCCATACGGGAGAAAGCTCACAAGACTGATTTCCCTGCTGAGACAATAGTCACGGGCAACTTTTTTTGGCAATAAAGGGAAAGCTACAGGGACGAGGCTTCTGAACAGGTACTACAAGTCAACGCAAAGTAGTCAGGTATGTCATGCGCTCCGTACTGCTGTGGAAAGTGATGGCGGCGCATTTGTGGTACAAAATGCACTAGTACATAATCATTCGAAAAGGTTACAAAATTAAAGAAAATTATAACACGAGTGCACAAGGATATAAACACAGCTGTCTCAAAGTGGTATCGGTACAACCAACTGTGTAATCGTAATACACTTCAAAAAAAATTAATAGAAAGCTTCTCGCCGCTACCGTGAGTGAACTGCATTTAAATATAATCAACATTCACTAGAATGCTGGGAATACTAACAATGAGGAACCACAAAGTGAATTAATAGAAAAAAAAACGTCATAATGATGTTTCAGTGTATTAACCTGGCCTACCAAAGTCACAATAGTGGAGGTTTTTTTTTTTGTTTTTTTCCCTCATCCTTCCTTCTCAAAATACGACCCACCACTGGCCTCGAGCTCCGCTAGTCAACTGTCACAGTAAGTCTACAACACTTCATCAGATGTAAAGATTAGGGAGGCAGACATGGACAAATGTTAAATGTTGATACGTAGCATTACAATGTATTGAGTCGCAGAAAATTTCCACGTAGACAGAAAACCCCTTTGAACCTACATGATGAAATGTGATCAAGATGCAACAGACAGTGTGCGTAGGAAGAACCAAGAAGACAATGATCTATGTTTGGGATGTTATGAAGGCAGTACATGTAAATGAATACACTGCATTACTGTCGTTATACGTACCGCAACAAGAAAGTAAACATCACACACCCCACCTACTTCGTAAACTCTAGACATATTCCACGTAGCCACCATTCAGGGAAGCTTAGCTTTATTATTTTCTAGAATGAACCCACAACGAAGCAGCTCAAACTTTTGTCATACTAACCTGGCTATTTACAAAGAAATACAAAACAACTGTCGGCGTAGGCCAGCCTTTTCACCCGTTTGAAAAAAGCTCCACAGTGCAAGTTTCAGTAGAGTTTCGGAAAATGGAAATCATTCAAGAAGTTACTGTTCAAACGGAACATAACTTTTGATTGGCTGGTTTCGTACTCAGATAGCAAGGTCTCCCTCCTGGGTCCGCTTTGTGAGTATTTAGCCAATAAGTAAAAACCTTGTATATACACATGGTTTTCTTACTTAAACTTAATCTGCTTTGCCTCCTTCAATTGGAAGGCTTTAGGGGTAATGTTTGCAAATATTTTCCACTTGCCTATGCTGTCTCTGTCGGTGCGTCACGTACACCAAGGTGGAAAAAGAATAATGAACTTCCTCAAGGGGGAAGTAGAGAGGAGGGGAATCTCAACATTACCCAATTTGCAAGGGATTTCCCTCAAAATATATTTTCTCAGCTATTGACACTCGTCCGCAAAGACACTCTAAACGCACATTCACACCTGTGACTAGCGTGGGTCGTGCTACCATTTCTTTTGGTGACAAAAAATGCGACTCAACGCGACTGATGTACACACCCACAAATGACTTGTAACCGATGCCAACCAAAATTGATGTCTCCTCACATTGCCGTTGCCCCGTGAAATAAGCTGACATCCTGTTCCAGCACATTTGATTAGTTTAGAGGTTTGCAACTGCAGTTGTGTCACTGAAAAATCGAGCAGCAAGCGAAGTGAGCCAAAGGGGTCGCTTTGTGAGCAGTGCTAGTCAGCGGTGATCTGAGCTTTAATAAATGACGGTGAAGAATCGCACGAAACTGCAAGTTATTTAGTCACTAATGAAAGCTCTACAGTCAGCATTCTTAATAATGTTGTGAGAGCATACGACAAACTGTGCTGTCCCTCTTGGCCGACTGAACAGAACTCCTGTTCATCAGAATGCACTTTTAATGTGATATTTAAAGCTCGTTTAGCAGGAATTCCAGCGTCGACATAGCTGGTTGTGAGCAAAAAATCATCTTATGCATGACTAAAAAATCGAGAACAATGCAAATAAAATAGCAATTAAAATATCCTGGGTAAGAGTAGGGATCGAACCCGGGTCGTTTGCGTGGAAAGCGGATGTTCTACCACACGGCCATGCGTCTACTTGTGCAGTACAGTGAAAATAACTTCCTCTGCTCGGAAATGCAGTGGAAACGCACACATTTTGTATACATGCTTCACAATAGATCATGAAATATTGCAGTGATAATGTATGGTTTAAGTGTACATTGCCATTGGGCATCAGAACACGTGATTATCATAATGACTTAATGGTTTAAAGCCAGTCACCCACTGCAAAAGGTACACACACTATTCTTCTAAGGCTACGTAGTGGGTGCATAGCACGTTCAAAAAGGTTTCATGCACCAAGTGTTTGAAATATGCACTAGGAACAGGATATCACTACAGCATTCAACTCTCACAGGCGAAGCTTTAGGGTTCCCAAATTTTGGGCAGTCTCTCCAGGTTTCGTTGAACGAGATTCTGCCGTAAATAAACAAACGTCAAGGAAGGCATTGCAGCGGCAGCTCACCTGCCTGGCGGAGTGCTTGTAGTCGATGCCGTGATCCTTGAGGCACTTGAGGGCACGCTTGTCGGGATTGCAGCCCACATGCCAGTCGCCGGTGGCTGCACTGTCAACAGTCCACTACGGAGGCACACACACACACACCATAAAATACAGAAGAAGTTCGGTTTAGGTGTTCGGAACATTCTCATGCGAGAGTGAAAAACTCGACAGCCAAAGTAGATTTAACTCTTCATGAACTTGTCCTAAACAGAAACACATTCGTTTGTCTAAATCCACTTCATAGACAATATGTATCGGCACTTTATACACATGAATTGTACAGTTGGCCGCAAAATATTAAAGGCCGCATAAGTGCATGCCGAAATTGCCATCTGCACTATCTAGAGGCAAGCGATCCGTTGTAGAGAGCGTAACTCTGTTGAGTGCAAGGCTAGAGCTACACTCTCAACAGCAGACAGGTTACCACTAAGACAGTAATTCTGCCAACCACTCGCTAGTCCATACTGTTTTGAGCCCATCTGTAATATAATCGCAGGTTCTCGCCCAATGCAGGTGTTCTGTAATGTAGGCCACTATATGTGGTGACTGTACAGAATCTACTATAGCACTCGTAAAGATCTGCGAAACAGAATCTGCAGTAACACTCATCAATACATCAAGGCATGTCTCATGTCAATCACACTACCAGTTTCTAGCTAGTGTAAAATGGCCATCAGGAAATGATTCACGCCAATGCTCTGCTGCAGGCTTCTTGATTCATACGAGTCACATTTCAAGAAGTACGGAATTACATAAGTTGGAGAGTCCCTGTCCTTTGCGTACTTCTATCCTAGTTCACACAAATTAGCTTCTTCAACTAGACTTTTGTTTACATGGCTAAGAACTGTAGTAATCACAATGCCCACTCGCTCACAAATTGATCAGTGGGGAAACTAGAAAAGAAAAGGCGACTTGAAATTTGTCGACACAAATCCAGCTTTTGTTAGACAATCACACTTGTTTTGGCGAATTGTCACGACATCAGCAACAAAGACGATGTCCGCACTGGTTCTGTGTGTGTGTGTTTCCTGGTGTTGTTGTGCCTGGTACGTTTAAGGTCTCTGGTTGACATCAGAACTGAACTGTTTCAAGTTGCCGAGCTCACGTACAGTGTTTTAATACATAGAGCATACAGCAAATTAAATGTAAATTTGTACGCTTTAAGTGGGGGCTATGCTTGAAGCCAAAAGGAGTATTTAGGTCGTCTTCCTGCCACAACAATAATCATAATGTTACGAGTAACTTGTTTAATGAGCTATTTACGGCGCAGAGAACCCGACGAGCAAGATGGCATCAGACCAGCATCCAAGGGAAAAACCCACTTCGTCCTCCTCTTTCTTGCAGCCGTGTTTAGCCGCATTTTCGTATCATAACCCCCGGCGGTAGAAGCACCGTCCCGGTGCTAAATTTACGCAGATGATGTCGAAGGGGGGTAATAGGGCTTTAGCCGAGCCACGTGAACGGTGTCGCTCGGAGCTGACGATGACTTTGTTGGATCCGTTGGAACAATCTCGTACGTGACGTCTGTCACTTGGCGAACGATACGGAATGGTCCAGTGTAGGGCGACAACAGTTTTTCCGACAGTCCCTCACGCCGAGTAGGTGACCAGAGGAGCACGAGAGAACCCGGAGAAAAGTGCACGTCCCTATGGTGAGAATTGTAGAGCTGTTGTTGGCGCGCCTGTGAAGCCTGTAGACGGTTACGGGCGACTTGGCGCGCGTGGTCGGCGCGGGCAATGGCTTCACCAGCATATTCAGTGGCCGCAGGTAGTAATGTGTCTAAAGGTAGAGTTGGGTCTCGGCCATATAGTAGATAGAAGGGCGAATATCCGGCAGTGTTGTGACGAGATGAGTTGTAAGCGAACGTCACATACGGCAAATGAATGTCCCAATCATGGCGGTCTGACGCAACGTATTTGGCAAGTATATCGGTTAGGGTCCTGTTAAGGCGCTCCGTGAGGCCATTTGACTGTGGATGGTACGAAGTAGTAAATTTGTGCTTGGTATGGCAAGACCTCAGGATTTCATGAACGACAGCTGATAAGAACCTGCGGCCACGGTCGGTGAGAAGTTGACGGGGAGCACCGTGCACTAATATTATGTCGTACAGCAGAAAGTCCGCAACGTCGGTAGCGCAGCTGGTCGGGAGTGCTCGTGTGATTGCGTACCGCGTCGCGTAGTCCGTGGCAACAGCAATCCATTTATTTCCGGCTGTGGAGAGTGGGAAAGGGCCCAACAGGTCGAGACCAACTCGAAAAAAAGGCTCGTTGGGAACGTCGATCGGCTGAAGGTAGCCGGCTGGGAGGGCAGACGGCGTTTTGCGACGCTGACAGGGCTCACAAGCGGCGACATAGCGTCGAACCGAGCGGGCAAGTCCAGGCCAAAAAAACCGACGTCGTACCCGATCGTATGTGCGAGAAACACCCAAATGGCCCGTCATGGGAGCGTCATGAAGTTGATGCAGGACAGTGGAACGCAGGTGCGCTGGGATGACAGGAAGTAAGTCTGATCCGAAGGAATCAAGGTTGCAGCGATATAGGATCCCGTCTTTCACCAAAAACATTCGTAGGAACGGGTCGCGAGGCGTTGACTCCAGTTTGGCAATGATGGCTCGTAAAGAAGCATCCCGACGTTGCTCTTCGCCAATGTTTAACAGCTGCGACACGGAAAAAACGTCCGTGATAGCGTCAGTATCGGTTGCTTCGTCAACAGGGTAGCGGGATAAACAATCCGCATCCTGATGTAATCGCCCTGTTTTGTACATTACAGAGAACGTGTACTCCCTGAAGGCGTAGAGCCCAACGAGCGAGACGTCCCGTGGGGTCCTTCAGGAAGGCTAGCCAGCAGAGCGCGTGATGATCCGTGACAACACGGAATGAGCGCCCGTACAGGTATGGGCGAAACTTGGCGACTGCCCATACAAGGGCGAGGCACTCACGCTCCGTGATGGAATAGTTGCGCTCGGCTGGAGATAGCAGTCGACTTGCGTAGGCTATAACACGGCCGTGTCCGCGTTGTTGCTGCAATAGCACAGCTCCTATGCCATGTCCACTGGCGTCCGTGTGAACCTCGGTTGGAGCTAATGGATCAAAGTGAGCCAAGATTGGTGGCGTTGTAAGCAATGTCGTAAGTTGTGAAAACGATGACGCTTGGTCATGGCCCCATGTAAACGAGGCGTCTTTCTTCAAGTGCTCTGTGAGTGGGCGTGCAATGGTCGCAAAGTCCTTAACAAAGCGTCTGAAATATGAGCACAACCCCACAAAACTGCGGACATCCTTCGTGGTCTTCGGAACGGGAAAGTTCGTGACTGCGCGAATTTTCTCTGGGTCTGGACGCACGCCTTGGGCATCGACAAGGTGACCGAGCACGGAAATTTGACGACGAGCGAAGCGGCACTTGGAGGCGTTAAGCTGGAGTCCGGCTCGACGAAAAACGTCCAGAATAGCTGACAAACGATCAAGATGCGAGTCGAATGTGGGCGAAAAGACGATAACATCGTCAAGGTAACACAAGCAGGTGGACCATTTCAGCCCTTGGAGCAATGAGTCCATCATTCTTTCAAATGTGGCTGGTGCATTGCAGAGTCCAAAGGGCATCACCTTGAACTGATAAAGACCATCAGGAGTGATAAATGCGGTCTTCTCGCGGTCCATCTCGTCGACGGCTATCTGCCAGTACCCTGATCGAAGGTCAATAGTTGAAAAATAAGTGGCACCGTACAGGCAGTCGAGGGCGTCGTCGATGCGAGGTAAAGGATAAACGTCTTTTTTTGTAATTTTGTAAAGGTGACGGTAATCGACACAAAAGCGCCATGTTCCATCTTTCTTTTTAACAAGGACGACTGAAGAAGCCCAGGGGCTGCATGAAGGCTCGATAATGTTTTTCGCAAGCATTTTGTCGACTTCGTGTTGTAATATTGCACGCTCCGATGCCGACACACGGTAGGGGCGTCGGCGAATGGGGGTTGCATGGCCAGTATTTATGCGATGGGTGACAATCGTCGTTTGGCCCAAAGAGTTGCTGGCAAAGTCGAAAATGCTACGATAGCCCTCAAGAACGTGGCAAAGCGCTGCAGCTTGCTCAGACGTAAGATCCGATGACACCATTCGCTCGATGTCGGCGCCCCAAGAACGTGATGGAGTGGAACCACTGACTGAGCTGCAGCAATCGTCAACTCTGAAGGGCTCGACATGGTCATCTTGGAGAGCAGTAATTTTTGCCAGGGAGATACCCTGTGGCAGTACTTTGGTGGTGAGTGAAAAGTTGACCAGTGGAAGGAAGGTGCGGTTTCTCTTAATCGTCAGAATCATATGTGGCACAGCAACCCCATGCGTAAGCATCACTGCAGGAATCGGGGCCACCATGTAATCACCATCAGGTACTGGCGGCGTGGAGGATAAGTCGACATGTGTGACAGAGTTAGGAGGGAGGCGCGTGAAATCAATGCAGCAGAGGCTGGTTTGCAGAGGGCTGGTCGGGTCGGAAAAGAGGGGTAAATCGAGATGGAGAGAACCAGCTGAACAGTCTATGAGGGCAGAGTGCGTGGCTAGAAAATCCATGCCGAGTATGAGTTCATGAGGGCAATGTTCGATGACGGCGAAAAGAACGACAGTGCTTCTCTCCCCAATAGACACTCGCGCAGAGCACATGCCAAGAATTGCAGCAGTTCCTCCATCGACGACTCGTACAGCTCGGTTGAGGGTGGGCGTGACAACTTTTCTAAGTCGGCGGCGAAGGTTAGCACTCATAATGGACACATGCGCGCCAGTATCTATCAATGCACTGACACGAACATTGTCGACAGTAACGTCCAAAAGGTTCCGGTTCGTTGTTAATGTTAATCGAGGATTTCTTACGAAGGTCGTCAACGCAGCTCCACCTCCAGAAGCTGCACGGCCTAATTTTCCGGTCGGAGATGCTGCAAATAGGTTGGGGAGGCAGCGCGGCGTTGTGGGGGTGACCGGGACTGACGACGAGCAGGGGACGGTGACCGGTCGTAGCGAAGTCTGCTCAGAGGTGCTGTAGGAGCAGAAAATGTGGTCGGCGTTGATGGAGAAAGCGGTGGGGACGCCTGGCGAGCAGAAGTGCTGTGATACTGAGGTGCATAATGGGACGGTGGAGCCCAGCGGCTGCGGCAGTGACGAGCGATATGGCCAACGCGTTGACAGTTAAAACATATTGGCCTGTCATCAAGAGTACGCCATTCGGAAGGATTGCGTTGTATGCGAGGTGCAGAAGGGGTACGATAAGAAGGCTCAGCAGAGTATACGGTAGGAACAGGATGTAGGCCGACATTCGATAGCTCTTGACGAACGACCGCTTGTATTAAAGAGATCGTGGTCGGGGAAGGCGCAGGCGTCGGTAGTGTCGTGGCTACCGGTTGTGCTGCCTCGACCTCTCGACGGATGATGCGTGTAAGGTTGTCACATCGAGGCGCCTGGTGGAAGGCGTCGTCACACGAAGAAGTGGCCGCTGTGTTCGGAAAGCGCACGATGCTTTGGGCTACGCGGCGGGCTTTAGCTTGTTCGAGACGTCGGCATTCTTTAAGGATTGTGTCGATGCTCGAGACGTTGTTAAAAACCAGCAGGTTGAAAACATCGTCAGCAATGCCTTTCAAGACGAGGTTAACCTTTTCGTCTTCCGACATGGACTGGTCGGCCTTGGAACAAAGGGCCAAGACGTCAAGAATGTAAGAGACGTACGATTCGGTAGAAGACTGGGCCCGTGTGGCAAGAGTCTTCTTCGCAGCGAGCTGACGACCAGATGAATCGCCAAACAGGTCACGTATCTTTTCTTTGAAGAGATCCCAGCTCGTTATGTCTACTTCGTGGCTTTCAAACCATGTTCGGGGAGTGCCGTCCAGGTAGAAAAGCGCGTTGGCGAGCATGAGCGTAGGATCCCATCGGTGAGTAGCACTGACGCGCTCGTACTCGAAGATGGCGTCAGACCAGCATCCAACGGAAAAACCCACTTCGTCCTCCTCTTTCTTGCAGCCGTGTTTAGCCGCATTTTCGTATCAATATGGTTTGCTCGCATTACCTTCCCCAAAGACTATGCACTTGCTACTTTCCAATCAAGAGCGCTACGTCCTGCTGATAGCAACATGTCATTTGTGGCCAGGAAAAGCCTAGAACACAACGATAACGCAAGGAAAGCATGCAACATAAATTACAGTTATTGTTGTATTACAGAAAGACGCCTCCAATACACCTGTTTTGTCACAGTGCAGGGACTAAGTATGCAGAAACTGTAGTCCACTTACAAATTAAAATACAAACGAAAAACTGCAGATAACCCGGCAACTTATTGTTTGACCTCCATCAGTCCTCTAAAAGAGCAAATCCAGCCACTCATTTCAGGAGGGGGGAGGGGGTCCTGAGTTCCTTGTTTTTAGTAGCACAACAACTCCATTGAAGCACAAATACTGATAATGTCTGACTGCAGTAGCACTCCACATTTGACCTAATTGGCCATAGGTGGTGGACAACAAGCAATGAACAGAGGGGGCCGGGGCGATCGTCCCTACCACCCCCCCCCCCCCCCTGGATGCGTCACTGGTTTTCTACCCAAGGTAACTTTTTGCATCGCTTCAATCTCGGAACCATTGCAGTTTCTTTCATAATTGTGCAGGTTTAGGAAATAGGTGAAACAAGAATTAACGCTGGGCTATTGTTTGGAGGGGAAAACTTCAGTGAGTCTTGTGCTTGAGTTTGTGTTCAAAAAGGAGCGGATCCAGCCATGCATTTTAGGGGGGGGGGGGGGGGGGGGGAATTGTCGCCTAAAGTAACACCAATGATGGGGGCGTGGTCATGACTGTTTTTACTAGCAGAAAAACTCCTTCATGGCATGAATACTGTTAATGCGTGCTCGCAGTGGTTTCACTCATTTGTCCTAATTGGTGGTAAGGTGTGGACTACGAGCACTGAATTGAGGGGGAGGGGTTAGCTCACAGAAACTTTGAGGGGGGACTGGCGACAGCTCCTACCGCCCCCCCCCCCCCCCCCTGGATCCGCCACTGGTTCAAGATAACATAGGCGAAATGGGGAAGCGAGGTTCGTAAGTGGCAGACACATTCAGTGCACATTTGATGAAAACTCTGAACGCATCAGAATTTGAAACACTACAGTTAGTTATTACTGTTTTGTTTTTTTACCAGCAGGAAGGTCTCTATTTCTTTTTGATGAGCACAACATTGATTCCCGTGCACCCGTTTTCATTCTTCCTAAATAATTTCGAGCTCAAACAGTTGGCGATATGTCAGATGTAGAAACAGCTGCAGCTACGATGCAGACGCCAGCTGCGATGATTGCTCATGACGGGCCAGTAACAGTGTTCACAACATGTTTAGAGGGTCGCTTTTGAACAGTTGCCATCATGACCGCCGAAAAAGTTCCTGTGATCGCCCGCGCCCATTTCTCTATCAGCAAAGGACGCCAATTTCTTGAGGTTTACTACTCTGCGCGCTATCTGGAGCAAATATATGAAGGTGATAAAAGAGAGATAAGAATGACAACGGGCGTCGGAAGGGAAAGTATGTGGCGGGAAAAACGTAATGTCATGCCCGAGAAAAACGAGACTTTTCCTGTTCCACCTTCAGTCTCCCAGCGTCTTCTAATATTTAGTTTTATTACACGCGGTGTAGGGTGTGCTGCTTACATTCGTGTGAAACGAATATGACGGCCAGAGTCGAAGCTTACAAAATAACGTTGTGCACACACACAGGTTTCGTCGTATTGCAAACGCGGCTTGTAAGAGAAGCAATAAGCAGGCATCGGCGACGATCGCGCGACTTACGTCATCCAACACGCCTCTCTCTTTAGCGACGTGCTTGAAGACAGCCTCGGCGATCGGGGAGCGGCAAATGTTGCCTGTAGAAAAGAAAAATAAACTCTTGACCATCGCCACACAATCAACCCCCACAAAACGGAGCAGCATAGACGTTTCGCTTACCGAGGCAGACGAAAAGGACGGAGTTAGAATCACTACTTTCTGACATTTTGAGACCTCGGAGGGCCACGAAACAACAGCGCGGCGCAAGTTTGCGAGTGAAGATCGCTGCACGACCGAAAAACATGCAGCAGCAGCAGACCGACCGGCGCGTTTTTCCTTCCTCCGTGATGCACGGACACTTCTTGGCTTTGTTTGGCATGGATCGACTTCGGCCACGAAACACATTCTGCTAGATTTAAGTTGCAAATTTCAAAAACTATTTTTTTATATGCAACAGTCACAAAAAGCTTTTAAACATACAGGAATGAAAGTTTTTTTCGTTTTTAAAGCTAAAAACAACGTTTCTAGAAACGTTGGCTAAAACAACGTCATAGTCGCCATGTTTTTTTTAAAGGCGTTTCAATCCAATCCACAATCTTTGCGGCAATCCAGTAGCGGCACGTATTTTCGTTCCAACACGTTTCGCGTCGCCTTGTTGTTGTCGTGTTTCCTTTACTAACGCCTTTCGTATTCGTCTCAGCGACAGAGACGTGTAGTGCTTCACGATGGTGAAGTTAACGCAGGACCTCATACAGATGGCCGCGCAGTCCATCAATCCAGTACGTGACAGAGAGATCGACTTGAGAGGTGAGAATGTTCTTCTTGTCCCCTCATCCCCCATCTCTGATTTCCTCGTTGCATTGCTCGATTGAAATTTTACTGTTGTAACGCAGGTTACAAGATACCTGTTATTGAAAACCTGGGAGCGACGCTGGTGAGTTTGCTGACTGGAACGGAAGCGATTGGGACGAGCTGCATGTCACTTTCGAACATTGTAATCGGGCCTGATTTGATTATGCAATTGCTTTATCCGCGCTCCGCTTCTTCTGTTGGAGTAATTGGTGAGTGAAAATCAAAACTCTGTGACGCAGTTGGCTATTAGAACAAGTTTGGTATAAGTGTTAAGAGCTCGTAAGGTACGCGAAAGCTGCGCAACGACCAGTGCGCCTTAGAGTATGCCAGGTGTTTTGGGGGTTCATAATAAACCTTCGTACGACGTTAGACATTATCTGCCGTTAATGGATGACATCGTGGACTAGATAAAAAAAATGGAGGGAGAGAGAACAAGTATGAAAAGGAACATATCAAAGTGCGAATTCAAGACTTGAATTGTGCATTGTTTACATACATACTTCGATTTGTGTCTTGCTGCACAGTCATTGCTTTTCTCCAAGTCTGTGCACAGCAGTGCGCGCCCTGCGTTTACAGTTACAGCAGTTTCCATGCATTGTGGGCGCAGCCGACGAAATGCTGGATAACATATAATACAGCTTGTTTTGCACGATTGATTTGCTGGAAGGCACGAATTTTCGTTCATTAAACCAATTATTCCTGAACAAGCAGTAAAATTTTGCCTTTGCTTTACTTAAAATCGCAACATCAGTTTCTGTATGCAAGGAACGTTCATGGGTGAGCACGCTGATGCGAATAAAGACCTTGAGCAGTTTGTTTTTGTTTGTGTGTAGAAGAGTGTGTATATAAAAATCAATTACTCATTGGGGAGCCTATTGAGGTAAAAATTATTTCTCTGAAGAGTACAAATGGGCTGTTATGTGCACAGCGGACATTCCCCAACTCCCCGAGGGGCAGCTCACTACTGTCGCTAAAGTGGAACTGTATGACCATTGCATTTTGCCACTTCCAATGTATAAGGAATAAACAGTGCAGTGCATCCAAATATGATAGTCATAACCTTAAGAGAATGGATTACATCGGAATGGATCAGAAAACAAATGGAGCAGTATCCTAGTGGACCATGATAGAAAGGAATTCCACCTTGGCAGGTCACTTAATCAGGACATACAACTGGTCGTCAGAGTGATGAAATGGATTTAACCAATGCTGATGTTTGGTATTGTTGGTGTGAGGCGTGACATATTAGTGGTCAAGCACTTGAAAGACGGAGACACAGCAACAGTGCAACACCAGCACTAACTCTCAGTAAGTCCGTTTATTTTACAATTGAAGCACTTGTACAGGTACCACACACAACATAGATTCGCTTTAGTACCTGCCATGCAAACAATCAATGCACTTTCTTGTTTTCTGTTTTTTATGTTCATACAGATTATGTTTTCGAAGCTCTGCACTCTTAACATGAATGACGGTGGCATAATCGAGTGCAGTTGCTTGAAATACAAAAATGTCATTTCTCTCTCTGTTAAGGCAAGGGATGGGGTGCTTACACAATCAATACCCAAAGCTGCTATTTTGGCTACTTCTATGATGAGTCTTGTTAATTCATCCTTGTGTGATGATACCACGGTGGTATTCTGGAAAAGAGGTACCAATTTCGTCAATTTGATAAACTTCCCTATTTTAGTGTCATGCTGTGCCAAAATACCTAGCCAGCATCAAAATCATCGCTGTTTTTCTAATTTCAGCACAAATAAAGGCCGTGTTAGCCAACTGGAGCTTAGGCATCTTTAGCCAATCAAATTCCAATGCGAGACCCTTGTCCTAACTGTGAAACAAAAGGGCTGCAGTGCCAAAATTTCTCGCTCTTGTTCTGTCGCATGCGGAATGCTTGTCAAGCCACCTTTGTCGGAGTACACTGGTGCCGTGCAGAAAAAGCATACAGAGATTTTGAAGGGGCTGTCAGTGCTAGTTGGCTTGGTACATGGCATATTTTATTCCTCGATTGCTCATGCATGTATGCACCGCATGATTGTGAGTACTAGCTAATGTCTAAAAAACTTACTGGCAGTCATTAAGAGGTGTGTATGATGCTATCACAGCCCTTGGAAACAATAATCAAAGCCACACCTTATGTTTATTTATTTTTTTATTGTGTGGCACCAGTCCCACTTGCTCCTGCTTTACGAATCTCCCCAATTTCAATGTCGCCAATTTGGCAGATTCACATTCGAACTTGCAGATTCTGTCAAATGATTTGGCAGCTGGTGCAAATGCTATTGTGGACTTCATTATTGTATACAGTGTAAGGTAGTTCAAAACACTGCCTTTATCTAAATAACAGTGGTAGTGTGCACTGTACATAAGTTGGGTAATGTTCAATAGTTTTTACATATTTTCTTGTTAGAAGGTTTGGGCGTGTTGGTTATTCATAGTTCTTCATAAAACAGAGCGCACAAAACACGGGACAGAAAGAAATCGGGATCTTTTCTTTCTTCCCCGTGTTTTTTGCACTCTGTTTTATGAAGAACTAAGCCATCTTTGTTATACTGCTTCAAACAGGGAATTTCTCATTCTAAAAAGTACGTCTTTTTTTAATAACCTGCTCCAAGTTTGGATCTTCGTGTTCTGAAAGTAACAATTGTGCTGCTTCAAAAATTGCTCCAAATCCTACTTCGGCTGTCACACTCCTATACATGGCACTGCTAGCAATCTATCGCGTGTTTTGATAGTCAGTCATTAAGGCAGTGGCTCGTCTGCTCAAGATTGTTTGCCAAGATGTGGAGAGTGCGGCCAAGGATATTGGAGGGCTTGGTTGGGTGACACAATTCAGGAATTTACTGGCATAAAACGGAATCTGCTCATGCAGGGCAGAGTTGCTACGGGCCTTCATCCCGTCATGAGCATAAAACAGGCCTGCTGCTGTTGATGATGGTTGATAATAAGGACTCATAACTACATGGCATGTCTGGGAGGAAATATTAAAACACACAGTTGCTTGTCTGACTGTTTGGTCGATAATGTAATGAGTGTGCCCTGAAAGCGTTCGCGATATTAGCTGTGCTGACCGTATGTAACTAATTTGGTGCGTCGTACAGGATCAGTTCGACTGCATCGACCTGTCGGACAACGAAATTAGAAAGCTGGACGGTTTTCCACTGCTCAAGCGTCTCAAGTCCCTGATGCTAAACAACAACCGCATATGGTGAGTAACTTATTCGCTGTTTAGCACTGTGAAGCACAATGGGCAGGACAGGTGCCTGTATATTCTTAGTTCAATGTTTTTTTTGTACCTTATCACCATATCTTGTTTCAAGTGGTTCGTCGTTGTTTTAGTATGGGTTAGTGAGTGCAGGGCTTGTGCTATATCATCTGCTCAAAGTAATTCGAAATTGTGGGCATGTCAAACCGGTACTGTCCTTGCGTCACATGCCTTAGCTCCCAGCAGAGCACAAGGTTGTTAGGATTCGACTTGCAAGCAAGTCTTTCACTCGGGCATTAAAAAGGACACCGGTTAAGGAGCACTTGCGCAGAATGCTAAGCTCACCATTGCACAAACTTGCGGAACACAATTTCATGGGCATGTCATATGCCTATGAAACGCTCATGTAATAACTGAAGCCACCTGTATGCCAAGATGTGCATTGACCGTACAGAATGCGCACTACATCTGCTCATGCAGGCTTTATAAAAGAAACCGAGCGCAAGTTGTCTACTGTACCTTATGCACTCAAGCTCTGCCACCTTCGCTGGTTTCATGTATCATTTAATGTGCAGTGCCTAGTCAAGCTAAAATACTCATGTTTCATAGTTTGGTTGTGCATTAAAAAAAGACAAAAAGGTTCAAAAATGAATTCGTTTGCATCTCTCGTGGCTAGAGCTGCATGTTAACTCTATCTGTATGTTGAGCTCGTCGATCCGTGTCAAATATTTGTATGATATTGTTTGTCAGATCTACATGGAGTGTGTGCATAATTTAAACAGAACAAAATGTGTACGCGAACAAAGCTAAACAACATGCCTCTTGCATTAGACATTTACCTGTGTAAAAATACATCCACGTTTGCAAAAAGATGCACACCTCTACTTTAACACAAACACAGCTGATACTCTCGCCTTTTATGGCAGCTCAGGGGCTACGGCATTTCGATGTGAAGCACGCAAGCACAGATTTTTACCAACCCACTGCAGTGGCATTCTTATGAGTGCCGTGCGAAAATGCCCACTTGGCGGTACTTTAAATTAATGCACATGGGAAAGGACTCCATGTGGTCGAAATCCACAATATTTTCCTCTACTGCAGCATGCCTTTGCACGTAAACTCTCAGAATTTATCCGCTTCAGATGCTCAGTGTGATCGACTGTCTATAAATGCGTCAAATTTACACAACTTGGTGCCAAGTTTCTGCAGACTCGATTTCAAACGAGTTATCAGAATAACATATTTTATATTTTTAAACCATTGGTACCACTAACAGCATAATTACATTATTTATTGTGCTGTAAGTGCTGCAACATTTCTTCCCAAAACAAGTTCAACCAACCACTCAAATTGCGTGCAATAGCTGTCTGTTGGCGGCAAGCATTCCCAGAAAGTGGAAAGCATACTTTAAATTCCTGCTGAAAAACGCAACTCGTCACGTGTGACACTTCTGAAACAAAGAGCTTTACCCGCCGTGGTGGTCTTGTGGTTACAGTGCTCGACAACTGACCCGAAAGTTGTGGGATCGATCCCAGTCACTGCTGTCGCCGCTTTTTGGTGGAGGCGATATGCTAGTGGCCCATGTTCTTAGGGACCTACGGACACATTAATAAACACCAGATGGTCGAAATTTCGGGAGCTCTTCACTACGATGACCCTCATAATCATATACTAATGGTATTGGGAATTTAAACCTCAACAGTTATTTGAGTATTAAACAAAGATCCATGTGTAGGAAAGTATTTGATCCGGAAGGTATACATATAACAAAATTTATGCAACACGAATGCTTAATTGACCATTAGCTCAGTGTTCACGGTCTTTTCCTTTCCAAGAGTGCACGAGGAATGGCAAAAGTAAGGCCTGTCTCCAAACGAGGGTGCCGTGTTAGTAAGTGCACGGTTCATCTGAGTGTCTGTTCATTAGTCATAACTACTATTTTCCTCATCACTTCATTATTTTTTGTTCCTATTTGTGTGCGTCTTAGTAGTATTGTATATTGTTTTTCTGATACATATACACTTAAACCTCAATATAATGAACACGGATGTAACGAAATATCGATTATAACGGTGTTAATGAAAAAATAGTGTTGCAATAGATACAGTGTAAGGAATAACATCTATAACAAATTTTCAAATATAACAAACTTATTTTCCTGTAAGATGCAGTTTTAATTAGGTCTGACTGTATAACTTTTCTTCTTTTCCATAACTTGTATTACATGCATTGTTTTTCTCTCTCTCTTGCCCTCTATTTGTCCTCACATTTAGCTCTCACTGCTGTTGCATTGCATGATAGGAGGTCTCCCTGATAGCTTTACCCTGTGGTATCTCCTGATGCTGTATGTACTATGTAATCCTGTGTCGAATAAACTTGAACTTGTGTCATAAAGAGATACCAGGTTCTTAAGCAACACCCTTCTGCTTCGTTATTGTTCCTCCTTTGCCAGTCGCATTGCGGAGAACCTGCAGGAGCACCTGCCGGCACTTGAGACTCTGGTGCTGACCAACAACCAGATCCAGAACCTGGGCGACCTTGACCCACTGGCCAGCATCAAGACGCTCACCTACCTCAGGTGAGCAAAGGGGTGTGACCTGCCTCTGTAGAATACAGTAGACTAATTTAGTTTGAGATTATGAGAAATTCTCATGAATATTACTCTGGGCAGCATACTAACTACCTTTCTGTAAGCATCAAAGACACGGAACACTGACGAAAAACATGGGGCCAGCACTTACAAAAGCTATGGATCAGCACCGACCAGCCTGTCTCAGTGTCTACTAACTACACTCAAACGTCGTTACAACGAACTCACATCTGCCACTGAAATACTTCTTCATATCACAAAATGCGTTATAATCCATAATTAAATAAAGTTTTTTCATTCCATTCTATCCATAATTTTTTACATTATATGGCAAAGCTATTAGTCACTTACTTCATTATAACCAATATTTTGTTATGTGTATCTGAATTTATTATATTCAGCTTTGAGTGTAGCGTTGTGATGTTTTCAACAGTGAAGCATTCGAACAGAAATGATCATCATTGTGAAGCGGTACGCACATTCCTTATTTTCTTTTGTTGCCGTCTTCATTTTCCGCTTTGCTCTAAGAAATGCATACCGGTTTCTCCGGCGTAGGATGCCATAACAATCACGGGCGAGAGAGAACGAAATTTTAATGTGAAAATCCGCATCACGAGGCGATTCGAGCTCTTGCATTTGCGAACTAAAGACGAGGTGTCAACTAACTGTCCAGGCATGCTACCAGGGCATAGTATAGCAAGGAGGTGGGAAAGGGAAGTAAGGTCAAGGAGGAGGGGAGAGTAAAGCATAGCATTGAAAGACAGAGAAAGAAATGAGAGAAATATTTAGACAGAAAGAGATAGAATGAAAGAAAAAGGGAGAAATGGGGAAAAGCATGAAAGAGAAAGACAGAATGAGTAAGAAATCAAAAGAAATGTATAAAGAGAGAAAAAACTAACTAATCATGAACGGAGACAAAAGTAAAAGGCGTACATAAAAGAGCAGAGAGGTGAGAAAAATACAGAAATGGGGGACAAAATAAAAAAGAAGAGTACACTCATACGTCAGTAGAAAACAATTGTTTCTTACACAAAAATAAGTTCGTTCTATCCAAAAATTCGTTACGAAGGTATATTCTTAGGACTATTACTATTTCGATGCTATTTTGTAATCACTTTGTTGTATCCAATATTTCGTTTATATCTAGTTATGTGTGCGTTTGAGTGTAGTATTCGTAAAACAGCCAGAGATTCCTAGGTGTCCATCAGCTCCGCTTTCTCGCTTTAGCATTCTACCTCTCGTGCAAGCAATGCTACCTACCTTTGTTTCAGGTGGGCATAGCAACGTCGTAGGCTGCTCTGTGTCATTACCAGCAAAAATTTTATATGTCAGCGATCGTACTGGTGCTCGTTGTCGTAGGTGTGCACGCTTGAGCGAGTATGGTGTGAAATGCACTGCATCCCAGGACAGCTAAGCCCCTTTTCAATGCCACGTGACAAAAATTGTAGTGCGGCGAAAGCAACCTTAAAGGGACTGATAACCGACAAAAGTGAATTGAGATAACCCCACTAGCAGACGGATTGTATACCGTATCACCCAGCACGAACCCTAGTTTTTTTATTAAATGCGAATTTGTATATTATTTTTTCCCTCAAAAGTACTTTTGGCGCTTCTGGCAGAAAAAAAAGTGAACATGCACATGTACCTACCACGTGGCCTTTTACAGTTGTAGTACGCTGTTAATTGTCACTATATAACAGCACATTTTTCATTATCATCTTTTGTAACATGAAGCACACTGATGCACGTTCGTTTGCACTGAGCAGAAAGTGGCATCACCTTTGCTAAACACATGACCCGAAACTCAGTAGCAGCAGCATGAACGTTGGTAGCCGAGGGCCTTGCGGCCTTCGAGATTGCCTCTAGGGACTAATTGCCAGAACTAATCACAGAGGCCCCAAGCACCTAGCTCGCAAGGCGATAGAGAGATTTCATGTGACGACGAGCATTCGGAAAACTCATTCTGCCGACTTTTTATATTCCGAAGTTGTCAAAAATGTCAATATGACAGTGGTCAACCGCAGTTTCACCCACTGCTGTGAAAGGAAAACCTCGAGCATAATGCAAGGAGAGCTAGCAGCTTTGCTATTGCTTCACAGTATTGCTGGAGGACATCTATGTACAGCTCAGGGACTTTCCTGATTGAAAAACACAGTCGAACCTTGCTACACAATCATTGCTTGTTGCCCTGGAAATGAAATTTCCAGTGCAACAAATTCTTGGTTCCTTGTCTGCAGTCCCTGGAGTCAATGCATAAGTATGTTCGCCACAAGGAACACCTTTTCTTCTGCTGTTCTGCTTCAACGAAATTCGATAATGCGATTCCAGGCTCATATATTTAGTGCCATGCAGTAAAGACAACCTTGAACATTTTCATGCATTTTAGAACATAAAATTATGCATACAGTGTCTAAATTGCGTGTTTGCAATACTAGAAACCACCACTGTTAACTGAGCATAGGGGCTGCCATTGCATGATAGTGAAGGCAATGAGACTGCCCTGCTTTTGCCACTGGTTGGAGTTGCTTCTCAGCCGCTCCAAAGCTGAATCTCAGTCACCCAGTTGTCCGCGCTTCAGCCTGGGCTGCAACCTGCGGAAGCGAAGCCTTTTCCAATGCCTTTTCCGATGCCAATGCTTTTCTTCGCTTGGCTGTAAAGGTCAGCAGTCAGAGTGACACTTCGTCTGCGTTATGAACGAGATCAGCCAGCCACGAATAGTGGTTGATGAACATTGTGTAGATGAAGGCACAATTCACGTCTCCACGATAGCACACCTGCGTCTCACCTTTGTCGGATACCTTGTTATCAGTGGATAGCTGATAATGTGGGCATGTTAGTGCAACTGGGCAGTTCATGTTGCACATCCGTGCCTCTGTTGGATTGTTTGCAGAAGTCGTTGTTCCAGCGCGCTTTTCAACATGGCATTACTCTTCGTGTGTGTGAATTGCGTCATGAAGCGGCTTTTTTCGGTGCTCTCGCCCATGCAGTTTGCTTGTGCTATGGAACTGTGTGCCAGTATCTTGGCAGCAAAAGGGAGTCCAGCGGCTATTCCTGCAAGTAACTGCTCGACTTGGGGATCAGAATCTGATTCTGTAAATGTCAGCCTGTCAGTATGAATTGTTACAAATTGAGATTCAGATTTTGATGAGGAAGCAAGATTTCGAAAGCAGTTTAGTGAAACAATGCTGACTAGGTAAAACATGGCTTTTTTTTCCTTATTTTCGCTTAGCACTGCTTCGTGCTCTTACTTTTGTATGTCTGTGAACTACACAGATGTTTATTGTAACACATAATTTTAGCAGTCATATAATTTTTATTTTATTTTTATCTTTCTGTTACACATGAAAAAATCATGTGCACGTAACTACACAAAAGATTTTTGTCGGTCACCAAACAAAAATTAGGCAATTTTTGTCATAGTTTCGTCTGAAGGATTTACTTCAGCAATAAAAATATCACATATTTGGGATGCATTTTGCGAAAAAAATTTACCCTCAAAGGGTTAACTTCTGCTGCTACAAATACTATGAAGTGTGAGCGCTCTATTGCGCCGTAGGAAACTCTGTCGAGAAAAATCAGCTTTCGGTTTCAGCATGAAAGAAGTCTAGCTCAGACCATCTGTTTTTTTCTTTTGTATTCTTTCTGATTTACCTGGCAGACAATCACATTTATTTTCAGCTCTCAGTTACATAAAACTGGGGCTGTGTGAAAAGCAAAATTTTGTGTGTGAATTGAATAATTTTCAATTAATTGTTTGCTGTTTTTGTAATTCAATGAAGCAAAATGACTGAGAAAGCTTGCAAAGGATCCTTCAGCATATTGTAAATTATATTCTAAAAAAAATTGTAACTTAGCTACGGTGCAACTGGGCACCACCGTATTAGGCTTATGAGAAAGAGAATTTCTCAGTCTTCAAATTTCCCACTTCAGTCAAGTCCTTCATTCAGAAAGAAGGGCGAAAAAAAAGAAAATGGTTTAAATTTGAAGGTAGCTTGAATTCAAGCAGCTTTAAGAGGAGATGCGGGTCGAAAAACGAGTTTTTTTTAAATTACCGATTTTTATTTTCACCTGTTTTAACAAGATTAGTACCTCTACTGTTATGAAAAAAATATTACAGGTCGAGACTTAACTGGAAATGCTTTAAAATTTTATCTAAAAAGCACAAGGTGCCTGTTAAAAGGTCGAAAGTGTGCATTCTTCAAACACCTTGCCGCCGATAATGCTCCGCCACTAGCCATTGTTGATCGCATGAGTCTAAGAGTCGAGCCTCACTCTTCAAATAACAAGAGTTTCTCTCGCTTATGCAGCACAAGAAATAATAACAATAATCACTCTTCTGCGCGTTTTTCGAGTGCCGCGACTGGCTTATCACATGGTACGAATCGGGGACCGCCATTGGCCGCAGCGGCCTGTATGTGCTGTGAAACTTATTTGCGGGGTCCATGTCTGGTCGAGCAGGGCAGGTGAACAATGCTTTTCTCGTGTAATTATCTCCGTTATGAATGAAAAAAGGCATTGCTCGCAAGTGAAAGCCGTTGTGCGGCGCGCTCTCTAGGAATAGGCTACGAGCAGCTGGTCGGATTTGCGGCAGTTGTGGGCTTGCAAAAGCCAATGCATCAAAGTCTTTCACACCCGTCGGCTGAAAAGTTCGTGATGCGGCAATGGATGACCTCAGCGCCAATCTTGAGAGGTCGAAAGAGCTCGCAGTGAGACAACTTAGCAGGGACGACATTGCCATTATCTACACAAACATGGCTGCAAAATGTCATGACACTGGACTTAGTTTGGATTTCGCAGTCCTGTCGAACTTCTTCCTAGCTTGCAGTTGGCACAAGGCTCTACCAGATGGAGCGGAAGTTTAGCAAGCGTTTCATGGCCCTGTCTGTGAGCGAAATGTCTGTGAGGAGTTCGGCTCGAAAACACCGAGAGGGACAAACTCATGGTGCTGGCGTATTTTAGTCGCAGTGGCACTACAAGAAGGATTGTTCTTTTTGGTGTGCAAATTTCATCTGATTTAATAATATCTTTCATAAGTAAAAACTCAATTTTAACTTTAAAACTCGTTTTTCTCAAAACACAAATTTTGCCATTTCTTCCAATGTGCCCCTCCTTTTTCGGGCATTTCTAGTGCTCGGATCTGCATGAAATATTGCCCAAATTTTTCCCAAAGTATGACAAATGCAATTATTAGTTTAAATTTCAATATTTTATTGTATAATAAAAAAAGTTGTATGTATACCTTTACAAGGGTAGGTGAAATATGGACTTTTTACGTCTATTATTTTTCTCGCGTACTAGATATTATGTATGTGCTTCCTAATGAGTTATTTGCACTCTACACTTTATTTGAAGCATTATGAACTATGAATGGTAAACAATTACAGAATATTAGGGATGAAAAGAGGGGGGGAGTGGGGGCAAAAGGGTTAAGGTTTTCACTTTGTCATGTTGCAGAGCTAAAGTGTGTAACTCGCAAGACAACTAATGATATAATTGAAATCAGCATAGAAAGTTCCATAAACAGCTCAAGTTTCATTGCTCTAGGGTGAATATTAAAGAAAAAGTGTCATCAAGTAGCATCTCCCCTTAAAATACATTGAAAACATAGTAGGCCAGTCACAAATTCAAAATTTGTTTGAAATTGCTGAGGGCTTGACTTATCAGATTTTATACAAGCAAGACTCAACTGTTCTTCGATTCAAGCATATGGTGGAATGCAGTTGTTTCTGTCAAAATAATTCGTAGTGCAGTTGTTGTTTTTTTAGTAGCGATGGCTGCAGTATACTGTGATGCACTGTTCATGCAACTACTATCAGCTGGTAATGGTTACGTGCTTGTAAAACACGGTATCATTTGTAGCAAAGGTTCCTTCATGTCAGACTGCATTCAGAACGCATACTCACTTCAGTTTGCTCTACTGGTAAAATGTCAGCGCTATATTTCGACCGGTAGTCACAAAGAAATGCTACATAGCTTTTTTTGGTTTGTCCCACCCCCCCCCCCATACCGGTCGTTTTCGCAGCCTAATGAGGAACCCGGTGACGGTGAAGCGACACTACCGCTCCTACATCATCTACAGGATCCCGCAGTTGAGGGTGCTCGACTTCCGGCGCATCAAGCAGAAGGTAAGCGCATCTCTTCACTCTCCTTCTGTGCTAGTGAGTCATAGTCGTGATGGGTTCACTTTTGCCGGCTGTAAGTGTCGGCAGTAGTACAGGGATGTCTTATCAATCATCTCTTGACTACTTCAGATGTCAGCTATGTGCTGTGTAAGCAATTATTTGTGTCTGCTAGTCCACTCCCGGGACACTCGTGTACATTCAAAACTCATTACAACACAGTTGAAGCTTACTAGAAATCAAGTTCATTATGTCCGAAAATTCGTTAGAAAGGTTATTATTAACAGTGTATTTATTGCAAGAGTATTTTTCACTAGCTTTTTTATAACTGTAACGAGAGCAGTAGGCACGGAGCTCGAGTAGAGAAAAAAGACGCGCTGGGATCGCAGCTTTGCATTCAGTTGGACCTTGCGCTAAATAAATCTCGTTTGCCGAGTCAACTCCTGCTTGTTCAACAACCCGTTTCAAGTGGTGGTAGTGCTGGGATACATCTGGTCCTCACCCTGGAACTTCGCAGTCGTACATTCCGACCACCTTCTGCCATGACTGATCCGGGACCGTCTCAGGCCGCCACTCCAGATCTCGCACCCGTACCTGTCTTATGTGCTGGCGGACTCCGGCAGCGCGACCCCCTCCCATATTTGGTGGCGCAGAGAATCAAGATGTGGACAACTGGATTGCCGAGTATGAACTGGTGAGCGCGTACAATAAGTGGAACGCAGCTGATAAGCTCACAAATGTGACTTTTTACCTGACCGACGTGATAAAACTATCGTACAGGAATCATCAAAATAATTTCAGTACCTGGTCGAAATGGGCAAAAACCCTCTCGAAAGTCTTTGGCCGTCCTGCTGTCCACCGCCTTCGTGCTGAACAGCAGCTTGCGTGGCAGAGTACAGAGAACAAATGAGACTTTCACGAGCTACATCGAAGATGTGCTCTTGCTCTTTCTCTGCAAGCTCGTCAGCCCGACTCTGGATGAGGTGGGCAAGATAAAAAACATCATGAAAGGAATCGACGACGGTGCATTCCAAATGCTTGCTGCGAAGAGTCTCCAGACGGTCGCCAAAGTGATTCAGCTCTGCCAAAGCTATGATGAGCTGCGTAAGCAACGTGCTTCCACACGTTGCGCTGCTCAAGGCACCGCAGACCTCTCATCCCTTGACTATCGCCATGACACCGCCGACCACTCCACGTTGATGCCACTCATAAAGCAATTGATACGCGAGGAGGTCGTCCGGCAGATATCTATAATCACCAGAACTACAGAGCCTATGGCACCCTTGTCGCTTTCGCTTTGTCAGGTCATTGAATCGCAAGTTGCCGAAGCATTGCCGCCAGCTCAGGCTTCACCATCTGTTACCGCGCCACTAACATATTCAGCCACTGTTGCTCGGCCACGTGCTCCATCGTCTCCGGCTATCTACGAAGCAACTCGCCACGTTTATTCGTCGACGCTACCTGCCCGCCCGTTGACCGTCCCTGTCTCCGGCTGTACACGAAACAACTCGGAACTGTTTATATGACGACGACTGCCTGCACGACTGTTTACAATGCCTTATTCAGCGAATAGTGCCCCTACCAGTCAGCCAGTGATGCTCTCCAGATAATCGGCCAATATGTTTTTCATGTGGCATCCCAGGCCACATAGCTCGTCACTGCCGTCGTCGCAGCTTCCCTTCTCATGACATTGCAGGGGCCTCACACTAATGCCCACTCAGTCGCGATATCCCGTTCCTGCCAATCCACCTCTAGATGTACGTCCCTGTCGCCGACCATCCGGCTCAAGCCGTTCGCCTTCTCCTCGTCGTCGATCTATTTCTCCAATGTTATGTCGCAACAGCCCACCGCGAGGGGAAAACTGACGGGCGCAGTTCCGGAGGCTAGAACTGCGTTGGCAGCGAAAATTTCAAGACCTAACTGCTGTCCCTCGAACGAAATCGAACTCCATATTGATGGCATTAAGGTGCACGGACTTGCTGACCCTGCAGCTGCCGTATCTGTAATCGGCGAGAAACTGTGCCGAAACTTGAAGAAAGTGACCACTATACTTACCGACCTATCTTTGCAGGCAGCTACGTCCCACCATGTTAAGCCTTCAGGTGCACTGCACGAGTCCTAATTCAAGGTGCGATGTACGTCGTTGCATTTGTAGTTTTATTCCATTCTTCGCATGACGTTATCTTTGGATGGGACTTTCTTTCGTCAAACTCTGCTTTGGTCGACTGTGCTCGTTCCAAACTCGCGTTATCTGTGCCGTGCTATGACCCCAATGACGGCGCTTCGTGTAGGGTGTTTGCTTCTTCTGACGTTGACATTGCGCCTTTCTCAGCTGTTGTTGTTTCGGTGTCGTGTGCCTCTCCTCCGAAATCGCCTGTGTTGTTTATGTCATCGGTCACATCTGCATGCCGTCGAAATTTCATGCTTCCGTTTGCTGTCATCGTTCTTCGCAACGGTCTCGCTGTCATTTATGTGTGCAATCTCTCGGACAGCTCGTCACCCCTACTACATGGAGAAGGCCTGGGAAGCTACAAACCTTATGAGTGCATTCTTTCAGCTACTATACCCGATTCTATGGTTTCGCTCCCAATTTGTGCTGTCACTCCTACCAACGTGCCTAATGATGTTCTGGACATCTCGGATGCCATCAACTCTGAGCTCGCACCAACTCAGTGCCAAGAGATTATAAATCTTCTACTCTGTTTTCGCTCTTTATTCGATCGTGACCAGTCAGCTTAGCGGTCACTTACCGTATTGACACCGGTCAATAAGCCCCGCTGAGACAGCGTCCGTATCGTGTGTCATCTGCTGAGCGCCATGCCATCGACGAACAAGTGGACTACATGTTCAATTGTGGCATCATTGAGCCCTCCAACAGTCCCTGGGCTTCCCCGGTTGTTCTCGTCAAGAAAAAAGACGGATCCATATGGTTTTGCGTTGACTACCGCTGAGTGAACAAGATAACGTGCAAAGACGTATACCGTCTGCCTCGCATCGATGATGCTGTGGACTGCCTACTAGGAGGAGAGTTCTTTTTTTCGTTAGATTTACGCTCCGGCTACTGGCAGGTGCCCACGGCATAGGGTGACTGCCTGAAGACAGCCTTTGTAACACCGGATGGACTATATAAATTCACCGTTATGCCCTTTGGCCTCTGCAATGCGCCTGCCACTTTCGAAAGTATGTGCAGGCCCGTGTACTCAGATTTTGGTGCACGTTCAGGTGGTCGAAATTTCCGGAGCCCTCCACTACGGCGTCTCTCATAATCATATGGTGGTTTTGGGACTTTAAACCCCACAAATCAATCAACTTTCGAAAGGATGAAGGATACTATCCTTTGAGGTCTGAAATGGAAAATATGCCTCTGTTATTTGGATGATATTGTGGCATTTTCAAGCATCTTTGCAACCCACCTCAGCCGCCTCGAGCAAGTTCTTACGTGCCCTTCCACGGCGGGACTTCAACTTAATTTGAAGAAATGCCACTTCGGCGCTCGCAAGCTTGTAATCCTCGGCGATGTGGTTTCTGAGGACGGCATTCTTCCGGACCCTACAAAACTTAAAGCTGTCGCGGTGTTCCCAAAACCAACCACCATCAAAGAGCTCCGAAGCTTCATCGGCCTATGTTCGTACTTGTGGTGCTACGTCCGCAATTTTGCCTCAATTATCGCCCCTTTGACCAATCTTCTTGCCGGAAGTTCTGATTTGTCATCGTGGTCGCAGGCGTGTGATGATGCATTTCAGGAACTCTGACGGCTCCTCACTACGCCTCCCATACTTCGACATTTCCATCCGTCTGCTCAACAGAGCTTCATACGGACGCTGGTGGTGTCGGGCTAGGAGCCATACTGGCCCAATGCAAGGATGGCTTTGACGAGTACGTCGTCGCCTATGCCAGCCGCACCCTCAGTGAAGCCGAGATGAATTACAGTGTCACTGAAAAGGAGTGCCTCGCCATTATTTGGGCAATCGGAAAATTTCGGCCTTATTTATATGACGTCCGTTTGATATTGTGACATACCACCATGCGCTTTGCTGGTTATCTTCACTAAAAGACCTAATGGTCGGCTCGCTCGTTGGGCATTGCAGTTACGGGAATTCGATATCCGTGTTATCTACCGTTCTGGCCGGAAGCATTCTGACGCCGATGTCCTGTCACGCTCGCCGTTGGCATCAGAGCCTGTCTACTCGCCTATCTCCACCAGTGCTGCCTTGGCCATCAGCATTTCGGGCATGCCATCTGAGCAACCCAAAGGCGCTTGGATTTCTTCCCTTTTGGACTTTCTCTCAAACCAGACGCCCGCTCCAGTTTCTAGGACACTTCGCCGTCAAGCACAACACTTTGCTATTCGGGATAACCTGCTTTACCAAAGTGGTTGCTAGTCATTCCCCGACATCTCCGCTCTGACATCTGCGCCACGTTCCACGATGATGACGCAACGTGGTCACGCCGGTGTGTTAAAAACATACACTCACTTGCAGCTGCGGTACTGCTGGCGCGGTATGTACCGTTTCGTTTGCCGTTACGTAAGGTCCTACCTTACGTACGAGCGACGCACGATGCCTGTTCAACATACTACCGGTCCCTTGCAGCCGTTGCCATGTGCAACACGAGTTTTCGATCGCGTCGAAATTGACGTTTACGGTCCGCTTCCCTATACTTCGAGTAGCAACCGCTGGGTCATTGTCGCTATCGAACCACCTAACGCAGTACGCTGAAACAGCTGCTTTACCTTCTGCTGCCGCAAAAGACCTTGCATGTTTTATACTGCAAAACCTGGTTTTAAGGCATAGGAGCACCTCGAGAGTTACTAAGCGACCGCGGCCGCGTTTTTCTCTCCGATGCCATCAAAGCATCGTTGAGCGAGTGTCTCATCATACACCGCACTACCACAGCCTATCACCCGCAGACTATTGGCATGACAGAGCATTTTAATTGTACACTTGGAGATATGCCGGCCATGTACACTTCATCCGACCAGTCAAATAGGGATAACATACTAGCCTTTTGTGGCATAAGCATAAAGACTGCAACGCAAAGCACCACTGGATTTTTGCCTTTCTTCCTTCTTTGTGGACTGCGAGCCATCATCAACAATGGATCCTATTCTTCCTTATCGAACGGACCCTTCAGAGTTGACAACCGTTTCACGAGCAGCAGCACACGCTGAAGAATGTCACAAGCTTGCTTGTGCGTTCACGTCACATGACCAGACGCACCAAAAACATCGCCACGACAGCGTCAACCACGCCTATGAGCTTTGCTCCTAACTCACTGGTGTGGCTACAGATTCCTTCTACTCCTCGGGACTCTCTCACAAGCTTTCATCCAGGCACCATGGTCCCTATCGAGTTGTATGCCAAACATCGCCTGTAAACTACCTTGGTCGAGCCGCTGGACGCATCTCCGGACAAGTGCCGTCAGGGACAAGAAATCGTACACGTCTCTCGGCTCAAGCCGTATCATGACCCTTCTGTGTACACCTGTCCTTAGGTCCCCAGGATAGCTCCCTCGTCGCTCAGTGGTGATTGTAACGAGAGCAGTGGACACGGAGCTCGAGTAGAGAAAGAAGAAGACATGCTGAAATCGCAGGCTTGCATTCATTTAGCCCTTGCGCTAAATAAATCTCTCGTTCGCAGAGTGAGCTCCTGCTTGTTCTACACCCCGTTTCATAACCAATATTTCGTTGTATCTCTGTTTATTATATCGAGGTATGAGTGTAGTACTTCAACGTATGTGTACCTTGAAATGCCCCTCTCAAGGCATCATCATTGTGAGCCTGACTGCGCCCACTGCAGGGCAAAGGCCTTTCCCGTGTTCCGTCAATCAACACAGTCTTGTGTTTGTTGTGGCCCTGTTTTACCCGCAAACTTAATCTCATCTGCCTGCCTAACTTCCTGCCTCCCCTTTGCCCGCTTGTCTTCTCTTGGAATCCTACTTGGCTACTCTTGATGACCTCTTGCCTTCACGATATTTGCCGCTGTGCATGCTTATTTCTTCTTGATTTTGGCACTACGATGTCGTTTTGAATTACAGCCGCCTTACAGTTCAGTCAACCAAAGCATGAGGCAGAATTTCATATCTGGCGCTCAACAGTAATAAAGAAATACATGGAGAATAACCAATCTATGTGTGGAGCGGCTAGTACTTGTTTGAAGTCTTCTATTGCTACATCTCTTTCTGCCCTGATGTTTCAAAGAAGCCTCGTTTGTCACCATCTGTAGGAACGGCTCGATGCCCAACAGTTGTTCAAGGGCAAGCGGGGCAAGCAGCTCGAGAAGGAAGTGGGCGTCGTGAGCGGCGGAGGCGCCGCTGCCACCCGCAGCAGCGGCAGCAGCGCATCGGCGCAGCCCCCACCCCCGGGGTCAGGACCGACGCCACCGGCTGCCTCCTCAAGCCGGAGCAGCCAGCTGGAGGCCCTCAAGCAAGCCATGTCACGCGCCACCACCTTGGACCAAGTGGAGCACCTCAGCACGGCCCTGCAGTCGGGCGCACCCCTGACACCCACGTCCAAGTCCTCGTCCTCAAGCACGAGGCCGCCAGGAAGTGGGTGCTACTATTGAGGGGGCACTGTCCTCTTTCTCTCCTATTTATCCTTTCTCTTGCCGCTTGCCCTCACCTCTTTCTTCTCTCTCTCACTCAGCTTTTTTTCTAGCATTTGTTCAAGCAGTAGAACTGAAAACGATGACCGAAGGAAGAGACAGACATGCGCAGAGGGACATCTGTGTCTGTCTTCTCTTTGCCGTCATTTTTTCAGTTATGCTGCCCAAAGCAGTGCTAGATATGAGCCAACTGTAGTAGACTCTCGGTAAACAGAAGTCTCTTATATGAAACTACTGCTTAAACGGTACGATCTAGTACTAATATGATTGGTTTATGCTTGATTTCTGCACCCCTGCTCATCTCTCAGTAAACAGAACTCCTGTTGAACAGAATGCATCGTACTAATTGCTTCACGTTTCATGTCAACGAGAGTCTACTGTAGCTGCGTTAATACCATTCTAAATTTCTTTCATTCTCGTAATCTAATATAGGGCTTATCTGCCCTTGCTAGTATTGAGGACTCACATACGTTTGCAAACACTCTTTGTCTCGAGTCTGCTTCTCCGTTCTGTCTGGCAGACAGAAATCGAAGCGCATTAGCTCATTTCTGGCACGTTCGTGCTTCACAGCACCAAAGCAAGCAGAATGTGTAAGTAGTGAGGACCAAGGGCTCGTAATGCTTCATTCTTAGCATGGGTTAAAAGAACCAAAAGCTATATTTCATTCTTGTTTTTCACTGTCACAGCAGGAAATATACAGCAAGGTCAAACTCGGGAAGGAACCTGGTCACTGCTTTGCTGTGTTGTCACAGTGGTGACCTGTAGTAGCTATCGTCGAGATACACATCATAGGGACGGCCCGCTCATGTATGGGTCCTCTCACTTTAACCTGTCGCATCTCATTCAGCCCTGAACCTTGTAACTTCATGCAAAGGGGATTTGCCTGAAAAGAATATCCCCAGGCCACATTTTCGTCTGTCTACTGAAAATCCCCAGGAGTCGTCACGGAAGTGCGAGGTCCACTTCAGTCAAGATGCAAGTTCTTTTCCTGCGCTCAGTGGTGCATAGAGTAGTTAGGCTTGAAGTCAAGGTGCTGTAGTGTACTGCGCAATTCAGCCATGCTTTCCGGGTGGCCAAAGCGAAGATCTCTTGCAGGTGCTGCTGCGCCAGGCCATGTGCTGAGCTGCTGCATCCAACAGAGGCAGCACTGCAAAGCGTTTAGGAGCTGTGAAGCTTATCGATGCACCATCGTTAACTTTGTGCTGTGTTGCATGTGGAACTGCTTGCTGTCCTCGAGCACTCCGCTGTCCTTTCATGCAGGGCTGCAATGTTGGATATGATGTGGTCACATTCTTTTGTGTCGTGCATGTGCATGCAAAGGGCATTCTGGGGCTACGGGGCATAACGAAACTGGGTGTTGATTCAATACAAGAAACCCTGACTCTTCACAGAGGAAGCAGCGCAGGTTCATAACTATCACGTCTATGTTGTTTTTTTTCTTATTCACACACACCTGGTGTTTATGGGAATCCGAGAGAATATTTTTGATAGCAAAATATGTACAGTAAAATGCCACTTGAACGAATGATGCTTCATAAGCTATTCAGTTTTATGAAGCATCATTGAAACAAATGGTAACACACTTCACTTACACGAAATTCAATGCAGAGCTCAATTAAATTCTGTGAACATAGTCCATGCCATCATTTGATGCCTCCCATGTCAATTTGATCACTTATCAAGTACAGCCTCACTTTTTCTAGCATATTTTCACCGTAGCCGCTGCGATCAGCTTCGCCAGCGGTGTGCCACCAGAGCTACTAACAGAGGCCCTAATTTTAAGTTGACAGTGGCATTACCATGAGACAGTGATTCTCGATTGCCTTAATCATTGAAGAGTATGCACAAAAAGTTCTAGCTAAATAAGCACAGATGTGCTTAGATAAAGTGATGTTTTGTGCGAGAGAAGGTTCATAAAAGCTTGGACAAAGAAACTCAGTTCGTGACCACTGCTTAATATCACTGCATTCACCACAACATGCTTGTTGAGCATGTGAATTCATATGCAATCAAGCAACTGGCAAACAGATCGGTTGAAATTTAGTATGACTACCTGAACTTTCCTTTAGCGTGCGATAACAAGCTGCAACATGCCGACAATTTTTTTCCCTGGAGTATCTTGAAATTTGTGCAAGTGAACTTGTATTGTACTTGCTTGCTGTACAACCAATTGAATAAGTCAGACTCTTGAAACTCGCGTTCCTGGCGTGTGCATGCTCTGGCTAAAGGCTTGGCTTGCCAGTGCAGCCAAGCGTTCACAACTAGTGAAGACTAAATAACACAAGTTGTAAAGAAGCTAATGAAAAAATATTCCACATTGGTATGGCAGTGTAAGGTGTTTTTTTTTACTCATATGCCAAGGCAGGAAGAGAATTTGTGCGAATTTCTGTCACCACTTTTCTTCTTGTCTACTTTTACAGCGGAGGATGTTGAAATGGAGGAGATGAACGGCCACTGAAGGGATCCCAAGATCATTCCGGAAAAAGTCGTTGAAAGTTTTGTGTCCTCTCAAGTCTCACCATGATTCACAAAGCCCCCCCCCCTCCCCATTATACATATATTTTTTTTCTTTCAGTCGCTTCTACGCTCTCTGCTGGCCAAGGTGACGTAAGAAGCTTTGTCTCGTGTGCACATTTTGAAATGACTGCATGCAGCTGCTCCATCCGTTTCCCCAATTTCCTTAACAACTCAAAAGTGCTGACAAGAACAGATACGGCACGTTTGGTTTATAATCTTGCGAGGCCAGCTGCAGAGCAGTGCGAGAAGCGGTGTCACTCGTGAAGCTAATAAATTTTCAATACCAGTCTTATATTTCTTTGTTATTTCTTCTGTGTTACTGTTATCTACTGCGGTGTTGCCTGTTGTATAAGCTGCTGTGTTCTTGTTGCGAGTGCTATCCCAAGTCATCACCTCAACCCTTGGACATCATTTGTTATTGCTTAGTGCTGGTTCATTGGAGTACTTATTACCTAAATTGGGAAATGTATATTGAAATACACTCAAATCTTATTTTGACAAAGTTTATATTATTTATTATTTATTTATGTAGTGATACTGCAATCCCCAGGGGGGATTTAAGCACGGGTGGAAATACATCGTTGTAGAAAAAAAAAATTCAGGCAGCAAACTAAAGAAGGGTAGCAAACATTGCTTCCAAACAATACAATACAAATATATCAGTTAGTTGCATCTTACACGGAATCAGTTTGTTATATCCAAGAATTCTTTGTAAAAGTATATTCTTAACACTGTCTAGTGCAGTACTACTCTTCATTCACTTTATTTCAACAGATATTTTGTTATATATGAGTTGGTTATATTGAGGGTCGAGTGTACAGTGTGTTCTATAAACATCGCCAGAGTGATGCATATCTTGCGATAATACGGTACCTATGAAAGTTCCATGTACTGAGATAATTAACACACTTTTTGTGCTTAGTATATGCTCAGGTTTCCATTGTAACTGCTCGTTGTACTGGTCTTTACTACTGGTCTTTACGATAAAGAAACTTAAGCGCTGCCCATCTCAAGGATATTGTTGGCGTTGACGTACCTATTTAGCATTAAATTGCTGTACTGACATGCAATGCTAACCGCAATGCCAGATGACCCCACAACACATTGTAGGTGTGTTCAGTTTGCATGCATCACTTCGAACCAAGCCAGAGCAGGACACAAGTAGTATGGAAACGGTGCATTTCGGGTGCAGTGGCACTAGGGGCAAATAGAAATGTTTCGATTTGACATGAGCTTCACTTTTGCACCATTCGTGTGAGTTCTAGAGGCTGCAAACTGCATGTTATTTCAGTGTCAGAATTACGGACAAATGTTAGGCTGTGTACGTGCCGCAAATGTGTTCAGATTGTGTCTATACTGGTCTGCTGCGTAGTTTGGTTACAGTAGTTTGGTGCACTGCTGCTTTGCGCTAACCCAGCGCTGTCATCGGCAGGTGACATCATCAGAGTAGTGAAAACTGTTATGGTGCGTCCCCTCGTAAGCTGATTCAAATGGTGCAAGTGAATGGAACAGACCTTGTACATGTTTCTGTAAGGAAGGTGCCTGGATTTTTATCCCAATTTTTGTGTGTGCTATACTAGATAAGTGCAAAAATACTTGCTTACTTAAATTTAAATGCACAACAAAGAGCTCCGAGCGGCTAAAATTAACCTGAAGTTGACACACTGCATAAAAACTTTGTACTACCTTCTACAGCCTCTATGTTTGTTTGTTGCCTAAGAAATCTTGGCTCATACCCACAAGGGGAGTTGCCCGCACTGTACTTTATAACGGAAATTTAAATACAATGCTTGTTAAAGGAGAGAAATCAGATAAGAACGAGATGTTTGGTTGCATACTGTTTATTGCGTGTCCCGCATTTCGTTTTTACTCTCCTCGTGTCACTAGCGGGCTGAGTAAAATAAATTTTGAACTACTTGCGCCATTTCTCATATCTTCTTAATTTGGCAAAGGCAAGGCGTTGTATGCGCATAGTGTCCTTGTTTTTATAATGGTTATACCATTGACAATTTCTCAATTGCTACAGTGAACACCTTATTGCTACTGCAGGTTAAAGGCTTGTTTTTGGCATTTACGGGCATGTTTAGTTGTGTACCTCTTGACATTTGCAAGGTGTCCGTGACTCTTCCACAGTGTTGAACAAACGTTTACTGGGGACATGTGCATAAACGTCGGATATCTATCGTTAGACTGCAAAGCAAGACACTTTTGAAAGCTGCAATAGGTGACCAGTAATACGGGCAATCGCAGGGAACCGTGGGATATGACGGCTTCCGGTTCGATGCACCAGGCAAGTTAGCAGCGGCACGCGTGCATTTTTGTACCGCTTCGTTGAAAAAAAGCATTTTTCCGTGCAATGTCAGTGCTTTATAAATTGGTTTTTTGTTTCTGCTAACTGTGACTACGACGAAGACAAGCTACGAAAGCCATGAACGGTAAGAAAACTTTTTTACCGCACTAAAATGATCTGCAATGCTTTTGTGCAGCTGGGGATATACTGTCAGTTTGGCTAGCAGATCACTCAATACAGAAGACAATTTTCATTGTACGATACGTTACTGCAGAGAAAATATCACCATTTTAAAGATATCACCAGATGGGGATGACTGCATGTAGCAGTGTTCTGAGAGTTCATTTCGGGGTTGCTGCTTCGGCCGACATCGTCGGTCGATCGGCATGAAGCACAGCACTTATTGAGCGTGTTGGGATATTTTTTTTTTTTTTCTACCATTCAGTGCGCTATAAGATGCATTTCTTAGTAGAAGCCAGATGCTTATTAGAACGCTGATTTTAATCAAGCTGTGAGGCACGGCGGAACATAAACAATACAGTCAGACATATAATCGCCAAATAATCGAAACCCTGCGCTTGTTATACGCAGTTCTCCCTTTGCGTGCCGTCCTGGCGCACAGTTTAACCAAGATAAACGCAAATGGACTCGTTCCAGCGCTTCGTGTAAACTTACTCTTGAGTGAAGCTTTCGCGTTTTTTGTTACTCGTGAAAAAAAAATAGAGGAGGCGCTGGTGAAGCTTTTTGCATTTTGATATGGGTACAATGGGCGGCGCTCATCTCATATGGCAGGTAGATATCGCCACGTGTTTGCGTAATATCTTTGCTAGGCGCACCTGTGCGACAATTTATTTCTCCATACAATATTCTCGGCAAATTCATGCATAAGCTTTTTATTAGTGCGAAGTGCACACGTACACTTGTGATAAAATGGTCTTCCCACACTCTTGGCTTCCAACGTTTGGTACTCAAAGTCTACCTGTCACTGTGGCTCTCTTCACAGCCGCGGTCCACCTCATTTTAATTGCGAAGCATTTCTTAGGCGAACTTCGCCGACTTTGAGCGTATCTATCTAGCCGCCTACGACTTTTAGCTCTCCTGGCTGTTTCGATTATGGTATCGATACCAAACTTGGTATGGCATAACATAAATGTATGAAGAACATATTTGACTAGTCATAACATGAAAATCATGACAAATATGTCATGATTTACATTCATGGTCTTGCAGCTCGTGCAGTGGTTTCGTTCACATGGCATATTGCAAAACTGGTATAGTATGGCATGATTGCATGGCGAACACAAGCACCCGACCCTAACATGAAAATCATGACATTGTGCTTGTCATGTAACATGACTACATCCCACGCTCAAGATGCACTCGCGGCCATTTCGCTAGCGTCACATATACCAAATTTGGTATTACAGCTGGTACGTGAATGGTTGACGAAGGTATGTGAGTAGTGCAAACATGATAATCATGAGATGCGTGTCATGTAACAACATGACTACATGCCATGCTCAGGATGCGCTGGCGGCCGTTTCCCTAGCTTCACGTATGCCATATTCGGTATTAGGTGACGCCAATGAATGACGAATGTATGTGACTGGTGCAAACATGATAATCATTATTTGGTATTACGTGACGCCAATGAATGACGAAGGTATGTGATTGGTGCAAACATGATAATCATCAGATGCGTGTGATGTGAGAACATGACTACATGCCACAGTCAACGCCCCAATACATTTCGACGTGACGCGGTGGGCGTGCTCGCCGGCGTTCATTTTGTCGTGTCACGCCGGCGTTGCCACGCCAGGCGCAGGTCCTGCCCTGTCTGCCACGTTGCTTTGACGCATGCGCGTTTGAGCGCGTCCAGCGTCCCTCCGTGATGAAAAGAGGGAGACTCAATGTTGTCTGGGTAACGCATCGACGCGAAAAGGCAGCATGTCGCATTTAAAGCCGGTTGCCGTCGGGCCGCACCGACGGACGCTCGTCGCGCCTGGCGTCAGACTATAGACGTACTCGTGTTTTGCTAACGTAGCGTCGCTGTGCTCTGCGTGCGCGCGCGTCAACGCTACATTGGAGTATATTGGGCCCTTCATGGTGCACTCGCGGCCGTTTTGCTCGCTCCACATACACAAAATTTGGTGTTACGCGACGTCATTGGATGACGAAATATATGAATGGTGCAAACATGATAATCCTGACACGCGTGTCCATGTAAGAACATGACAACATACTACGCTTATAGCGTGCTCGCGGCCGTTTCGCTAGCTCCACTATAAACTAAATTTGGTATCACGTGACGTGAATAGATGACGAAAGTAAACGATCGTGCCATGATAATAATGGCACGGAAGTCATGTACGGCATCATTTACCTTCAACTTGTAACGTTGTGCTAATTTTAAAGTGACATATCAACATTTCTCATTCGTGCTTCGCACACGATCGATTCGCACTGTACGTACGTGGGATCTGCCATTTTTTCTTCTTTCTTCGTTTCTTGGGAATCGATACGTATGCATTTGCCTTTCACGCCCAAGTTGGAGCAGCCATCGGCTGAACAACCGACCAGTTTATCAGCACGAAGATAAACGGGCGACCGAGCGCGTGAATCCCGAATAATTGAGGCTTGAGGCGAAACGGTTCGCCATCGTCTGCTCTTGTTGAACCGGAAGCTCTTCTCGAACCGGAAGCAGCAGACGACGCTCTCGTTTACTGGTTATCTGCAAAAACATCTATGTACTTTAAGTGCACGTTAATAAGCCCTAATTGGTCAATATACCCATTTGTCGTGCACACGTTACTGTTGTGTGCGAGGCAAGAATTGCCACCTACTGCCAGGCTGCGAACAACCCAATTTTCCTGTGCTCATCAAGTCTGTCATGGTAGTGAGGGAAATGAAGTGGAAGTTCCCCTGACACATATTGCATGGTTTTCGGCCCATAAGGGTAATCTCTCGTCTTGCCCAATCCGAACGAGAGGGCTCACCAGCTAGCCCGCGGCGGTGAGCGGCCCTCTCAGAGGGGTAGCGAACGGGGATGTATGAACTTCAAGGATCCATCGATTGCATTTCACGAGATCACCACATCTTATAAACTAGGGCGCATATCGAGTTTCCCCCCTTCCGCACCCTAAATTGACTAAAGGACAAGCAGTTACTTCGGCAACCATACTGCACAGACTCGACCCAAATTTCTCACCCCACTGCCCGCACGGTCATCACGAGTACTGTAATTTCGAACACGTGCTATGGTTGTGCCCCTTTAACTCGGGGTCACAACTACCAGACCAAACCAACCAAACCTCCTGGGAGGCTGCCACGCGCAGCACGGAACTCGACCACAGAACACCTACCACCTAGCAGTTGACTCGACAACCAACCCCTGACCGTCCAGACTCCAGAGAGCCCGGATGGATGGATTGATGTGGCTATACCCTTTAGATCGGGCGGCGGCTAACGCCATCTAGCCGTAATACTTAGTGAACCACCAACTGGATTTATCTTTTTTTTTTCTTTAAGTAGTGAAGTAGAGGACTGGTACTTTGCAGTGAATGGTTTAATTTTCACTCGTAGTCTTGACTTTAGCCACCAATCAGATAACCTCCTTCTAGTTAATTCTACCCGCTTAAAGTCTATTTTGCCCTCCCTGTCTCGAAACCCCAGTGGTTTGAAAAACTCTGTGCCATCATCCTGAACTATAGGGTGAAGCCCTTTACAGAACATTATCAAGTGTTCGGCAGTTTCCTCCTCCTCTCCGCATGCACTGCATACCGTGTCTACCCCTTCGTATTTGGCCCGATATGTCTTGGTTCGCAATACTCCTGTCCTGGCCTCAAACAGTAGAGAAGCTACCCCGAGTATTATCATAGATCCTTTCCTTGGTAATTTCCTGCTGAAAAGTTCAATAGATCTCTAGTGCGGACTTCTTAATCATGCCAATTCTCCACATGTCAGTCTCCGGTTTCCTTCACCTTCTTCTTAACTGATAGTTCTTTTTGGTTTGGCCCCCTGCTGTTTTCTAAGTATTTACCCGTCAATTTCCTGGTTCACTTCCTCCATCTTGTATCGACATTCTTCATGTACAAGTAGCTGAAAACCTTCCTAGCCCAACGCTCCTCCCCCATTTCTCTCAATCGCTTCTCAATTTTTATTTTGCTGCTAGCATCCCTGCCCTCAAATGATGTCCATCCCATATCACCTTGTACTCCCTGATTTGGTGTATTCCTGTGAGCTCCTAAGGCAAGCCTACCTATTTTACGTTGCTTATAATTTCTAATCTTGCTTGAACTTCTGATCTCAAGCACAAGACCGCATTGCCAAACGTCAGACCCGGAACCATGACCCCCTTCCATATTCCTCTCACAACATCATGCCTATTGTAATTCCACAGTGCCCTATTTTTCATCACTGCTGCGTTACCTTTAGTCGTTACGTATATTTCGTGTTCCCTTACGTACTCGGTCCCATTGCTTATCCATACGCCCAGATATTTGTATTTATCTGTTATCTCTAGCGTGACCTCCTGTATTCCTAAGCTCACTACCTTCATCATCATTAAAAATAATGACTGCTGATTTTTCCTTACTGAACTGAATCTGAAAAATAGGGCCGGGACATCGCCGAGAGACTCCACCGTCCCGGCACCATTCCTGGGCGGAGCCACCTGGCTGAGCTAGAGGGGCCTCCGGTCCCGTCCAGTCTCTGCCACCTTTGGACGAAAAATAAAGTTCTCACTCACTCACTGGGAAGCCGCATGCAGCATTGTGACTGCACTGCATTGTGACGCGCTTCTTGCGCGAATACTGCTGTTCCGCACATATTTTTTTATTGGCCACCACAGCCGAAGCTTTCGACCGCAATTCAGTGGCGTTGTTGAACCACGCAGCAGCCTCGAACTTCTGCAGTTTTTTGGAAGTTTTGTGAAAAGGGGCAATGCGCGATGTGAATGCGTTCAAGTAGCAGACGCCATCAAGGCGGAAACTTGTGCGCTCAGCGTTCTTGATGATGATAGCGTTCGCTACGCGCGTTTTCACGGCAATGGGACGCAGAAAAATATCAAGCGTGCGGTCGTCGCAGCTTTGTGCGATGCAGCAATATCAACCAAAATGCATCACGTGATCCGCGTTATCGTCAAAATTCCATGCCGCTTTCAAAGCATTCGCGCACGCTGCCACTACAGTGTGACCAGCGGACTGCTAAAACAGCTGATGACCCAGAGACTGCGACACGACATCGTAGAAGCCGTACTACAGACGTGCTCGAATCGAACGGCAAGGTAATTAAATCAGGCCTCAGCTTGACATCGCCTTAGGTTTCTAAAGAAGCAGCTGCTAAGAAAGGCGGACCACGCGGCTGCCTCGAGCGAGCGAGCGGCAGGCAGCCGCCGTTTCCTCACGAATCACCATTTCCAACATTTCCTGTTTCGACGCGTTCCTTTTGTTTTGGTTTTCGTTTTGGCCCCCCCTTCTCGCCATTGCTGCTGCTGCCGCCGCCGCGGGCTCTCTTCGGCGCTGGCTTCTCGGGGCGGAAAAGATATGGGTCTGGACCGAGGCCCGTCGACAACGACGCTGTGAAAACCCCACTGTTTGGCGCCAACGCAGCTGGGAATAGCGAGGGCCTGGGCCTAGATGAGAAGACGGCACGACTCTGGCCGCGTGAGTGTTTATGCGGACACCTCAGCCGTCTCGGCGGCCGAGGTCGTATAATACGCACTGCTACACACATCCCGTCGACGGGCAACTAGGTTGCGCGCTTGGTCGAGAGCGATACTATTTGTGCAATTAAGGGTTTCTCGGTTTTCCGCCGTCTCCGCGGAAGTAACTCCGTGTCGGGGAGGCATCGTGCTTTAGTGCGTGCTCTACGGCGTCAAGCGCTAACCCTCGGAAAGAAATTGAAATGCCTTGGCAGATGATTTCTGTGGAGGGCCAGTGGTGGGGCCAGTCAAAAGGTAGAGGCCTGTTTTCTTTTCATCTTTATTTGCTTTGTCGCCTTGTGCTGGGACGGTGTGACGCGATTGCCTCGTTGCAAGTCGATAACGAGTCGTTGCCGTAATGGTTCCCAGCACGGCCGGGGAGAGTTTTTTTTTTTTTTTTTTTTTTTTGCTCGTTTCGAAAGGGGCGACTGTCGCGTACTTCAACTGGTCTCCCTGATCGTCCCACGCTTGACGACTTGTCGTTTCGTCGGTGGCCGTGGCTACCTTTTTTTGTATTTGTTTTGCCGTGTCGCAAAAGCCGAAACGGTGCCGTGATACGCAGCTGGTATTGTAGCGCGCCTGGGTCATGTGTGACCGCTCGAAGTTCGCGTGTTCTCGCTGTGCGAAGCGACGCGACAGTGAAATGACGTTCTGCATTCGGCTCAGTTGAGGTCACTCGTGCGATAGCGGAGTCAGTTGAGCAATTCAGGGAATTCGATTGCGCGAAAGGGACCGATTGATAATCGATAGAGGTCGAGTAAACACCGCTCCAAAAAAAAAAAAAAAAAAAAGAAGAAGACCATGGTGCAAAAGCTGCGGTAGTCGCAGGGGACTTTCGCAATAGAGGTGGGCTCAATTTGTTTCGAAATGGATACCCGTGGCCGCATGACTGTACGCTACACCGACCCGGTTGCAAATGCAAAGCTATGCGTTTTCGTACGTTCTATATCTTTGCGGGTATGTAGCGCCCGCTGCTATATTTATATGCTCCGTGTTGAGATATCTCGTCTCGTGCCGCAAATAACCCTCTAGCCACATCGGGCACTCGCAAACTGTTCGCTTGTAGGCTGCATTTTCAGTCTTAGTATATGTGAGCCTTCTTTTTTCTTAATTGGAGTAATGTGATACTATATACTTTGTTCTGACGAGTCTTTATCGCATAGTGAAGTTGGGTTGAAGTGCCCTCTTTGACATTTTTCCGAAGAAAAAGGAAATATGCGTGTAATCTGATCACAGCGCACCACCTAGTTCTGTTTACCCATAACACCTTTTCTCTGACTTAATGAAATGCATATCTAGAATCGATATTGGTTCTGCTTAACAGACCCATTCTTATCTGTAGCCACTCAAGACTACAGAAAAGGGAACCAATTAGGAGATAATTGGTATTGATTTGCTATTACCCTACTTGCATTACATAAGTTTCACTTACGTGTGATGTATTTCCTATGATGCGAAAGGAATGTTTAAAAAGGTTGTCGTAGGGCCCAATAATATGTGCTTGAGGCTGTTGAGTTTGCAGCCATCACCGCTCCTGCCCAAAATCATCGTATTATTCATTGTTTCAAGCATCTTTTCTTTTCCTGCTATTGTTCATTTCACCATTGTTTTGGTACAACCTATTGTTTCCCAGTGTGCAGTCCACCGTGTGGTGTTCGGTTTTCAGTCATTCTTTGTACTTGTTGTTCATTGTCCACGACCAGTTATATAACGTGGAGTCCTGGCTTGCAGTTTGGAAGTTCATTCATGGTAGTAACTTATGTTGTGCTGCTTGGCTCGAGTCTTGGGCTTGGTCATGGCTGCTGTCTTGTTTTGATAGGGGCAAGCTGACAAAAAGAGGTGTATGGCGAGTTGCGTCTTGTGATACTGCTCACTGCTACATCCCTTTTTTTTTGATAGCCTTATTGAAACTTAGATTAGGGCGTTATTTAAGAATAAGTATTTGTGCTGTCAACGCTTGGCCAAAGTCCACTTCTAGCAGCCTGCTCGCCAAGCAGACTTAAATGTGCATCTCAATCTTTGTATCGGATGGACGTTATATTACAACTGTCTCAGTGTGACCCACTTTGCTGGATTGGATTGCGTAGCGTTCCGAAAAAGCCAGAGGCTGAACTTTGTTAGTTCTGGAGCGTTTACATTGCCAAGTGGCCCAAGTGTACATGTTTGTGCTTGCTTGTTCTTTCATGACATGAAGTAGCATGCAAATAATGGTTGCAGAAAAGAGTTGCAAAGAAATTAATGTCTGTGAAAACTAAACTAGGATTCATCATTACTGACCCTTCATACTTCTGCTAGAAACCTTGGAATGACCCATCTTTTTTTAATTCTGAAGGTGTGGCACAATTATTAGTGAGGACTGAGACACGGGACACGGAAGTACCAGTACAGCATACTAGTTGCACATTACTAGTACTACGCTCATCCGTCTAATTGGTGCATCATTTGTTGTGTACCATTTTGCTTCGGAAAAATCTGTTGCTAACTTGATATCTTTGTTGCCAGATTCAGGTTCTTATGGTCTTTGATTTATTTATTTCGTAACATCGCACTCATACACAAGATTTTGGTGGAAAACTGAAATGACTATGATTTGTGCAATTAGTCAAGCATACTTCTTTATGGCAATCATGACTTTAGGAAGCACCGAATTCTATAGAAGAAACTGTGTGCAGATGATCTTTAAAATTGGTACAGGGAACCTGGATTCATGCTGCGAGACTGGAAATTTCTGTGGGAATAATTTCAATGCATGCTTCGTTTAAAATTGCCTCGTTTGTTCTGTAAGCACTCATTTCTACTGAACTTTAAGCTTACAGCACTCATATAAAGTAGTTTCTGTGCAAAATTTTCAAGTTTTTATGTGAGCAAAGCCATCATGAAAAATGCGAGACATGCCGTTTATTTTATTGAAATTTTCATGTGATGGTCATTGCAATTCAACACATAAAAAGATGCGATTAATCTAATTGCATACATGTTTGAAACTACGCTGTTCTCTCTGACAAGTGATGAAACAACAAATGAAAGCATGAATTCCAGCAAAAGCGTCATTTCAGACAGTTTGTGAAAGAAAGGAGCGCACCTTACTTGCTACAAAAAAAAAAAAATGGAAGGCGAACTAAAGAGCACCTTTTCATGCACCTGTCTTACTGATTGAATGCAGTGCTCCAAAGTTGAATGGTACCGTCTTGGCCTTGTTGTTCCAGTGCATGCATAGCTAGCTTCTCCCTTTCCTAAAACGACACATCTATTCTTTTCCTTGAATGTATCGTGCAATATCTGTGAGCTGTAGAATTCCTACCAGAGTTGTTGCATCTCGCTGTCGAGAGTTCGACAGGGGATAAGCCCCGACAATCTCAGAAGTGCGACCTTTTATCCAGATGTACAGGTTCAGTGTGCGTAACTTGTAGTCGGATGCAGCTGGAGAGGCTCGGCCCAGATAATGATAGCATGGCAGCCTCCACTGCCAAACAAATAGTCCTCTGGGTGGAGTCGTCGTCCACCGGGCTGGGGACATCAGCTTGGAGAGTTGTTCATTGGGTCAGGCTCCTAAAGTTGCATCTGACAACAGGTGGTGTGCGCTGTTCGAGTTCAGAGACTTAAAACGAAGCATTACTATGGTGCACAACATAAATCAGAGTACGTTTGTTCTACAGGGCCCGGTCTCCACAACTGCATTTTGATGGAAGCAAAGTGCTAGAGCTTTTTGGTCTTAGATTCAGGTACGCTTAAAGGAGCGCCAGCTGGCCGAAATTTCCAGCGTCCTCTGCTGTGACGTCCCTCATAATAGCATTTCTGCTGATTGGGGATCAGAAACGGCAACAATTATTTCTTCCACAGGGGTCGTCCACCCGCGGCAGCGGACACTTTAGTGGTGCAAGCTCGTGCTGAGGAGCAGCAGTGTCCGGCGTCCAGCGGCTGCCAGTGCTTACGAGCATGAGTCGGCAAGCGGCCGGCAACAAGGGGGGCGGTGGCAAGTCCGAGGCGGGTGGCGGCTACCCTGCCCGTGGGGCCGGGGCCTCGGACGCTGCCGTTGGGGCTCGGGGGGCGGCGGGACCCTTTCCCGGAGGCAGCGCGTCGCCGGCCTCCACGTCCAGTTCAGCGTCGGCCCTAGCCAGCCTGTTCGAGTGCCCCGTGTGCTTCGACTACGTGCTGCCGCCCATCCTGCAGTGCCAGAACGGGCACCTCGTGTGCTCACCGTGCCGCCAGAAGCTGACCTGCTGCCCCACCTGCCGAGGCCCAATTGGTAAGTTCTGCAGGCTTTTATAGTAGACTCTCGTTAAGTGGAACCTGAAGGGACCCGGAGAACGTGTTCATTTTAACAGGAGTCCCATGTACCAAGCAGTGAAAGGGGGGCAGAATTCACTTATGGAACCAATTGTGTCCCATTTAAGCAGCTGTTCCTTTGAAGCTTTTAGCTTATTAAAGATCTACTGTAGTTACTTCTGCTGTGTTTAGTTATTTAGAAAATACCTTAGTCCTCACAGAGGCATAGTGTAAGGGGGTCAGATGCAAAAGAAAAATATGGATTAATATAATAAGAAACTGAAATTACACGAAAATAAGAACAATGTAGGGTAACATCAAGTGCAAGAGCTATTGGAGCAATGTAAGCACAAGTACAAAGCTTGTCACATCTTGACATTAGATTATAAGACAACATAAATCGACAAGTTTGAAATACAAACAGGGGAAATGCACTGTGTAGTAGGCACATCGAATGTGAGGGTAGTGCACGAATTGTGCAATTTATAGATTCTAGTTGTGATTAATGTCCACATAACGAACTATAAGACATTAAGTTGCTGGGGAAATTTAAAAAAACAAATGTATGGATTGTGAACCTGCTTAATATTGTGGCGTAAAAGTTGTAGAGCAACGACTTTTAGACGAAAGAAAGTGAATCTAAGGGCTCATTTTTCTGCGTCAAAAACACCCTTAAAGGTTCCCTGCGACAGGAATTAAGGGTGTAGTTTTTCTCTTCTGAAAGTGGGGAGTACAAAGGTATGGTCGCAAAAGTAGCAATGCAGAGTACAAAATTTTTGTAATTTATTTCCATAAAGAAACATTGGCTTCAAACTAGTGTCCCGCAATGGCTATCTTTGTCATAAGAAGTGATGCTTCGTCACATGGCAGTGACAACACTGCTCAGGCATCATGATTGGCTCATACAAGTTGGGTGTAATATTCATATGGTCTTAGGTATGCCGCTGTATCTGCATGCTAAAAGTTATAACAGCACTCTTTATAGTTTCCTCACATAGAAAAAGATTCAGATAAAAAAAATGATCAGGTCCCACGTACCTTGGGAATCGGCGTTACGCGAAGTACGCGAAGAGAAGGTGATCGTGTTGTATTTTTTTTCTTGGGCGAAACGTCATGAAATGACACTAAATATATGTACAATTGTTGTACGCGTAGACATATATATGTTGAGCAGTTGCAGACGCTTACATAAGCAGTTGTTCGCACTTGCGCAACGATGCGAACAGGAATATAAACATTAGCAACACCAGAAGCGATAAGCTGATATGAATAGTTGGTGCTCGCAAAGGTGGTAGTCCTGGACACTGCTACATTAATCAACTTTATCGGATGTCATCTAACTAAAACTGACAGCCTGACGTGACGGCTGTGTTATAGGAGTACATGTGTAATGTTTATAAAATTGGATGGCATCCCCCTCCCCCCGAAATCGATGTTTCACGAACATTACGGCCCATTTAAGAAGTAGCTCTGAGAACTGGTGTGGCTGTGTGGTAGAATACTTTATTGCCACGCATAATGCTGGGGGTTCGATTTCTGCTGAGACTACGATATTTGTTGTATGCGTTCGATGGGTCAACACTGCCACTGGCAGCTTTTTCTTTATGCTAACATGTTATATTTGTCAAACCATCTTAAAGCCCTTACATACTAACTTTGGTTGATGCCAAGTTTAGGGGGTGATCACAAGAGCACCCAGTTGTAAGTGGTAGATGAATCGATAGATAGATTAACATGCACATAGATGCCAAAAGTGCTTACAGTACACAAAGAAATGCTTCACATTTAATATCAAATTTTGAAAACAATTGAAAAATGAGGCTAGGTGTGCTGCGCAACAGTCACCATGACGTGAAGCTCTCAGTATGCCTCGAAGAGGCACAGTGTCTGAAACCAGCATTCAATGTCAGTGGCTTACTAAAATGCGAAAGGGGGCAATTACTTTCTCATGGTCTGGCTGGGTTCTAAAGCTTGAAGATAAATGTCTGTTCCTTTGTGCCTATTTTGGTGATTCAGTTGGTGTTCATTTCTGTATTCAACTCTAAACAGACCACAGCGCTGCAGAATGCAGGCAAAAAAATGTTGCAGGGTTTCTTTAATGCACATCAAGTGACAACGAAGCTAAGAAAGGTATAGGAAACATCATTTATAGTCGCTCAAATGTATTGGAATTATAATACAGATGGTAGGATTTGTAGAAAAGGCAATCGGTAGAGCATCGTGCACATTACCCCAATGTTGTAGCTTCGATGCCTGCTGGCGGCAAGTTGTCTTTTTCTCCACTTTAATTTTCGTCCCATTTATATAATTACTACATCGAACCACTACAAATAGCATCCCATATACCTTCCTTGGCTTCATGAGTTGGTGGTTTTTATCAACGTTGCAAGTACTTCAGCTCTCGCAATAATGGTTGGGATGCAGGTTTGCGGTCACTGTACAAAGTTACAAATACGATTAGATTACGACTGCAGGAAAGGGGAGAGTTTGGCTAGTTGGCTTGTGTTCATGTTGGAACCGCACAGAAGTTGATTCCTATGGCTCAAATGTATTGCAATTACAATACAGATGGTAGGATTTGTAGAAAAGGCAATCGGTAGAGCATCGTACACATTCCCCAATGTTGTAGCTTCGATGCCTGCTGCGGCAAGTGTGTCTTTTTCCGCCACTTCAATGTTCGTCCGTTTATACATCCATAAACCTTCCTTGGCTTCATGCAGTTGTTGGTTTTATCAACGTTGCAAGTACTTCAGCTCTCGCAATAGTGGTTGGGACGCAGGTTTGCTGTCACTGTACAAGTTACAAATACGATTAGATTTACGACTGCAGGAAAGGGGAGAGTTTGGCTAGTTGGCTTGTGGTCATTGTTGGAAACCGCACAGAAGTTGATTCCTAGTGCTAACTAATGAGTACTGAGTGTTTAACTTTTACTATGAAGCACACCAGCACCTCTTTTCCCAACGCTTGGTGTTTGTGCTTTAGTGTGATGCACAAACACGTAGTGGCTAGTAACTGCGAATTGAGCAAGTTGATATTGAGTTGTCTTTTTCTCCACTTCAATTTTCGTCCCGTTTATATAATTACTACACCGAACCACTACAAATAGCATCCATAAACCTTCCTTGGCTTCATGAGTTGTTGGTTTTTATCAACGTTGCAAGTACTTCAGCTCTCGCAATAGTGGTTGGGATGCAGGTTTGCTGTCACTGTACAAAGTTATAAATACGATTAGATTACGACTGCAGGAAAGGGGAGAGTTTGGCTAGTTGGCTTGTGTTCATGTTGGAACCGCACAGAAGTTGATTCCTAGTGCTTACTAATGAGTACTGAGTGTTTAACTATTACTATGAAGCACACCAGCACCTCTTTTCCCAAACGCTTGGTGTTTGTGCTTTAGTGTGATGCACAAACACGTAGTGGCTAGTAACTGCGAATTGAGCAAGTTGATATTGACTGATGTGGAAAACTATCGCGCTAGCAGTGAGACAAGGACAGAGGGTGAAAACACATGTTAGTGTGGCATAATTTGTTTTTTTGTGTATAAACCACTTTTTTAAAACAAAACATTAGTCAATAAAGCTCTCATTTCATGTTCTATTGTAGTTTCTCGTAGATAGCACTGGATTTGTTGCAGTTATCTATGCTTATAGTTGGGTTATGCAGGCAGTGCTTTTAAAGGTCTTGGTGCATGCAAAATAGATGAAACTGGCTTGTATGCGATGTATGTCTGGTTTATCGTGCTCTCCTCAACCTGGCCGATTCCTTTGTTGGCAACTCGTAATAGTACCTCTAGTCTTTGCTTCACATACGCTGCCCTAGCCTGTTGCATTAGCATCGCTATTCTTTTTCAGCTGAATGCCCGTACTTCTCTGTGGGCTGTAAATGTGAATGCCACAGTCAAATTAGCATCCATCAGTATTGTTGCCCTAGCCCATTTTAGTGTTCGTGGGAGGGCTTTCCCATAACCTCTGCAGGGCTCTGTTAAAGTTGTGCTTGGCATTACACAGACCAAGACACGAAAGGTAGACCACCCGAAGAGTGGATTTAAAGTGCGACACTGTCTTTTGTTTGTTGGTCTGTTTAGTGTTTACGTAGTGCAACTTTCACAAATAAAGACTAGCCCACCTTGTAGCCCTGCTCCATGACTTGTACTTTTTCATGGCGCCTAAATTAAGGGGTTAATGTAGGTAAAGTTTAGGTCGTAGGATGAATGCTGTTATGTTACGGCACACAGACTTTGCCTACTTTGTTAAGTCAATACTGGTCTTTAGCATTTTCGAGTGAGAAGAATTAGTTCTTAAAAAAAAAAAAAAGCACCTTCCTGCCCTTTAGAAGAAAAGAACTCTTAAAGGGCCAGTAAACAACCCTGAGGTTCCAAAATTTTTAAAAAGAGATATCATCATCATCATCATCAGCCTGACTACGTCCACTGCAGGACAAAGGCCTCTCCCATGTTTTGCCAGTTAACCCGGTCCTGTGCTTGCTGCTGCCAATTTATACCCGCAAACTTCTTAATCTCGTCTGCCCACCTAACCTTCTGTCTCCCCCTAACCTGCTTCCCTTCTCTGGGAATCCAGTTAGTTACCCTTAATGACCAGCGGTTATCCTGTCTACGCGTTACATGCCTGGCCTATGTCCATTTCCTCTTCTTTATTTCAACTATGATATTCTTAACCCCCGTTTGTCCCCTAATCCACTCTGCTCTCTTCTTGTCTCTTAAGGTTACACTTACCATTTTTCTTTCCATTGCTCGCTGCGTCGTCCTCAATTTAAGCTGAACCCTCTTTGTAAGTCTCCAGGTTTCTGCTCCGTAGCTAAGTACCGGCAAGATACAGCTGTTATATACCTTACTATTGAGGAATAGTGGCAATCTACCTGTCATAATTTGAGAGTGCTTGCCGAATGTGCTCCACCCCATTCTTATTCTTCTAGTTACTTCAATCTCGTGGTTAGGCTCAGCGGTTGTTACCTGCCCTAAGT